ACCCCCTTGTCGTAAAGAAAAAAAAAAAGAGAGAAAGATTGAGGATGATGTCAATTAGTGGCCAGAGACAACCAAAAGCAGGAGGTGATAAATGTCTCCAAGAGGATAAATTCAGTTACGATGCACTATAAGAACTTTTGTAAATGTCACAATGTTCCCAGGGTACAACCATAAAAAACACTGGATAAAAAAAGAAAGAAAGATATATCTAAGAAAAGATGACAGGGTGCAGATTCTGTGCATTTGAACACTGAGAGATAGTACAGGCCTGGAGGAACACAAGCAAGTGACAGATCTGTAGTCACTAATGCAAACAGAAACCTCCAGGGAGTTATTATCATCAGGAAAATAGAGGTAGCCAGGTAATGTGATTGCACTGCACTAAATGTGAGCTGACCCTGCACAGCTATGACCATCAATACTGACATACAGCATTATGTTAGAACTGTCTTAGGGTGGAGAGGGGAGAGAGGAATGTAGGGAATGACATTCTCAGCCATCCATTTCCTATTTTGGAAAGTAGTATGTAAAAGTGAAAAATTGAGTTATCTCGAATATGAAGGCAAATACCAAGAAGCAATAGCAAGGAAGACCTGTGGCTACAGCTGGGAGTAGGAGTTGGATATTCAGCTTCTCTCTTACAGAACCGTTTAACTGTAAGTTATAAGCATTAGAACACCAAGGAAAAGTAACAATGAAAAGAAGTCACTGGTAAAAAGTACATTTCTAAGAACTGGAAAGAATTAAGGTGAGGTACAGCTGAGAATGTGTATATATATATATATATATATATATATACACATATATATATACACATACATATATATATACACATACATATATATGAATTTAAAGAGAAAAAATTCATCACTTAATTTTAATACCTGTATGTTTATATCAACATACCCCTTTGAAAAATTTTATTTTAATATGCCCATTTATCTAATTTTATTTAAATTACATTGATAGTTAAACAAATATATATATATATTTAGCATTTAATATACCCATACTCAACTGTGTAATTCTGAATCCAAACAAATGTCTTCAGCTATCCTCCTTAAAAACTTAACTTCAGTTCTGGGTGTGGTGGTGTACGTCTATAATCCCAACCCTCAGGCAGTTGAAGGAGGAGGAGCACAAGTTCAAAGCCAGCCTGGGCTACACAGTGAGACACTGTCTCAGAAAATCAAGGGCTGGGGATGTAGCTCAGTTGTGGAGTATTTGCCTAGCACTGCAAACAATGAAAGCTAAAACAAACAAACAAACCTCTAGCTGTATACTTTGATATTTTTTGAGTACTTAGAAAGTCAACTTCATTTGTAGTTTTTGAAAGTTATGAGAAAACTTTCAAAGAATCTTTAGAATAAACCCTTTAACAAATCAAAGGTGACATTTGCATGAAATAAATAGCACATGTGCAACTTGGTTTCTATAACTTGTGTTGCCTAAGAAAAATACATATTGTTCTTTAATCTTTCTTGATTTTAAATGCAGGAACAGAGGTTTCACTGAGGAACTATTACTGTGGAAAGAGTGGATTGCTAATAAACAAATCGGCACAAGCACATTTGGTGATTATGCTTTATAGGTACAAGAAAAACGCAAGATTCTAGAATTTTTTAGATGCACCAGGTGCCAGTGGCTCGCGCTTATAATCCTAACTACCCAGGAGGCAGAGATCAGGAGGATCTTGGTTGGGCAAATAGTTTGGGAGACTCAAAAAACCATTCATAAAAACGGGTGTGTGGAGTGGCTCAAGGTCTAAGTCCTGAGTTCAAACCCCAGTACCACACACATACACAAAATTTAAATGAGGCCAATACTATGTCAATCAAGCACCAAATAAATGTTAACATAACACTTAAACATTTCATAATTTAAAAAAAATCCAGTAATACTCCCTCTCCCCATCCCCTGGTCCTGGGTATTGAACTCAGGGACTCTTGTGTTAGGCAGGTACTCTACCACTGAGTCTCATCCCCAGCCAATTTGCTGTTTTTTTTTTTTTTTAATTTTTTCTTTTTTGGATTGGGTCTTACGCTTTTGCCTGGGCTGGCTCGAAACACAATCCTGTTGGGATTATACATGTGTACCACCATTCCTGGCTCCCACCTACAAAAAAACCCACAAATATTATGCTGTCCAGAACAGTGGCCACAAACCACTTTAAGGCTATTGAATACTTCAATTATGGCTACTCTGAACTCAGATGAGTTTCAAATTTGAAAATAAAGTCCAAAGAGAAGAATATGAATCTCAATTTTTTCATAATGTTTGCACGCAGAAATGACAATATTTTGGATATATTGTGTTAAAGTATGTTATTTAAAATAAATTTTAGTTGGGTGCAGGTGGCTCATTGTTGTAATCCTAACAACTTGGGAGGCTGACATCAGGAGAACTGAGATTCCAGGTCAGCTAGGGCAAAAAAATTTGTGAGAACCCATTCCAACAGAAAAAAGCTGGGCTGGGCATGGTGGCATGTATCTGTGTACAGTGATGGTGGGAAGCCTAAAATATGAGGATCACAGTTTAGGCCCATCTTAACAAAAAACAAGACCCCATCTCCAAAATAACCAGAACAGAAAGAGCTGGAGACGTGGTTAAAGTGGTACAGTACCTGCCCAGCAAGCACAGAGCTGTGAGTTCAAACCCCAGTATCATCAAAACAAAAAAAATAATTTTCTCATGTTTATTTTTTCTATATGGCTATGAAAAAAAAAAAGTACATGGCTTACATGCATGTCTCATGCATTTCTGTAGGAAAAAGGTTGCCCTGAAATAATCCTGACATGGAAATATCATGATTTTTAGATAATCAACTCTATCCTTTTATATTTTAAGCAAAACAGAAGATTGCTGAGAGTGAAAAATAGTGTCTTCCACTTCTAAATCCATTTAAACTACAAAGACCTAACTTCTTTGACCTTCATTCTGGACCTAACAGCTAATTGAAAAATATGTAGTGCAGAGAGTAGGCTTTACTTCTAAAATTGCTTCTGAAGTTAGATTTTCTGATTTTGGAGTCCATTAATTATTAATTTAAACATGTATCTGAATTTGAGGACCAACTTTACATTTCTTTCTTTTTTTTTGGTGGTACTGGGGATTGAACCAAGGGCCTTGCATGCTAGACAAGTGCTCTACCACCTGAGCCATGCCCCCAACCTTTTTGTTTTTATTTAGTATTTGAGTCAGTATTCACTAACTTTGCCGGGGCTGGCCTTGAACTTGTGATCCTCCTACCACTGCCTCCTGATCAGATGGCATTACAGCTGTGTGCCATTGAGCCTGGAATAAAATTTTTTAATCTAAGAAAAAAAGTTTTGAAAACACATCTAAATGATCATTTTAATTCTGAAACGATAGTTTCTTTGAAATAATTTTTTGGAGGTTATATGACATCTGTATTTAAGAAAACAACAGATGTTTGGAAACAGATGCATGAAAATGGTAGACACATCAAAAATGAACATATATTGGAATAATTATGCAGATATCCACCAGAACAGATTTACACAGAATTCATTATTAAAACACTAAGCACTGATTCTTTGAACAGTATTTACTGGGCAGCTGTTCTATCCCAGGCACTCTACTCAGCAGTGGAATTTATAGTGATCAACATTAGATGGGATTCTTGCTCTCATGGAGCTTATACTTTAAAAAGTGTTGAATAATTATGCAAACAAGAAAAAAACAACAGAGGTAATTGGTACTTTATATGTACTTTTATATGTAGTAGCATATAGTTGGGGCACTAGAGCTCTTCTAAAGAGCAAGAGCAGACTTCCCTAAGGAAGATGGAAGAGGATATGTTCAAAAGTCAGGAGTCTGCAGGTAAAGACGCAGGTGGGGGTCAGACTCTGCACACCACTGAAGGCCACTGGAAGCCACCAGAGAATTTTAGGCAGTAGAGGTACATGTGACTGTCACTCTTTAAGTTTTGAAAAGGTCCCTTGGACTGCAGCCTGGCAGTCTGGGACAGGATGATGTCCTTGATGATGGAGGTGGAGATGGAAAGAAATGGAGGGATATGAAAGCTAAAAGCAAGAAGCTTTGGTCATGGTTTGGATACATGCACTGCTAGGGTTCCTAGCTTCTGTACAGCAGTGCTAACTATTAATATGGGTGAAGAGTTGAGGGAAGGCGTGGGGGAGCTCCATGCTGAGGAAACTGTGTTTCAAGAGAGAACTCAGAAGTATCAAATGCCACTAATGGGATAGGTCTGACAAGTGTTTAATATGACCACTGGGTTTCATGACATGGAGGTAAGAGGGATGGGAGAAATACTTACTAAAGGAGGGAGAGAAGTGAGTGGAAATGAGAAAATGAAGTTAATGAATACAGACCACTGGTCCAAGAAAAGTCTGGCTGTGGAAGGAAAGCTGGGGCTGGAGTTGAAAGACATGAGCAAGGTCAATGGAGAGGGTTTTGGGAAAGGTGACTGATTACACAAGCAAGACTAGAAATGGTCAGGGTTAGGTTTTTGAGGTGGAAGATGAGGCTTCGATCACAGGACTGGAGAGAGACTATAAAGAAGGAAAGAAGGGAAAATAGGTGCCCTGTTCAGCTGTTAAGAGTCTATGTACAGTGTGTTATAATCTGCAATTTCTGAAAAAAGTACACATATAAGCATCTACTTGCAAAAGAAATGGATGACACTAGTTACCTGTAGGAGTAACTGAGAAATGAAAAGTGGAACTAGTTCCTTCAAAGTGCAGGGAGGCGAGGGAAATAAGCTTAAAGGAACAGGATGTTTTCAGGCTTGTCAGTTGATACTATGATTAAGGTAAACACATACCTTTAAACCTTATGTTGGGTTTGGGTATATTCAAAATAAGATCCAACCCAGGAAAAGTATAAAGGTACAGATTAAGTTTAGAAACACAAGTGTCAATTTTGTCTTAATCCGGATGTTCATTATTATAACCTAAAGCTACTTCCATTATTTGGGTTAATAAAATATAACAGACACACTCCAGTTAGAAACCTACCATTGTTCAATGTGCAGAGATGAAAACGTCCGTGAAGCTGCTTCTCGAGTTAGTAATTTGAATCCACACTGTGTGTCCCTGATTCCTTTGACACAAAGGAACCACACCAGAAAGTGGAACCCATACATGAGAAGAGTACGGAAGTAAGAACGCTGAAAATAAAGACAAAAGAGAAATGACTTTTCCATTCACCTGTCAGCAGGTATGAAAACACCTGCTGCAGACAAGGGCATTTTCATATTCCGTTAACTGAGTGGACCTTACACATGGACACCACTGTTCCACTGGCTTCTCCAGTAAAGTGTATTAAAGGTGTGGTGAGGCTGCCTGCTGCGGAAAGCAGAGGTGCCTGGAGTCACAGGACCTGTGGAGGCCAGGCTTCAGTACACCCAGCATGGGGCTGCTGTAAGCAAGAACATCTGATTTACCTATAGATTTTATGCTTCTCTGTCCCACATACATTTCAGTTTCAAAAAAGGTGACAGTGTTCTGTCATAAAAACTTCAGACTTGAACCCATGGTCTGATACCTAACTAATAAGAATACTGTAAAAGAGGAACGGCAGAACATAGCAAAGGTTACATCCTAGAAAACCCAGTCTAATTAGGTATGCCAGATATCTAAGTAAATACACTGTGAAGCCTGAATTCTTTAATACTTTGGATATTAAACTTCAGTAGTTTTTAATCCATCTGAGGATTCACTATTGTTATTAGTGATTACTACTGAGAATAGATTATTAGTTATCAATGTATTAAAGACCTTCAGGTTTAAGATTTAAAAAAAAAAAGCTAGGCATGGTGGTACATGCCTATAATCCCAGCTACCTGGGAGATGAAGGCAGGAGGATCTCGAGACTGAGACCAACTTGGCAAAGTTAGTGAGACCCTGTCTCAAAAAATCCAAATAAAACAAAACAGAATACATAGCAAAAAGGGTTGGGAGCATGGCTCAAGTGGTAGAGGACTTGCTTTAGAGGGCCTGGGTTCAATCCCTAGTATTGTAAAAAAAAAAGACTTGAAAACAAGAGTTGGGAGTGTGCTACATGAGGAACGAGCTTTTCTCTAACACTCCATTCTGGCCCAGTGAATGGAGCTTGATAGTAAACCTTGCTACAAGAAAAAAAAAAAAAAGATAGGATAACTAAAATGTTCTATATTTAAGGCAACGGACCTTTGCAATGATGCATTACTAATGCACATAAGCAAACTATTGAGGATCCATGGAAAACATTGAAAATCTCATGCTATTAAAGGTTCTTTTTCCTTTGATTTTCGTAATTGTCGTCTTCAGTTTCATTCTTTATTTACGCAGCTTTTTCTATCATCATGGAACGGAGTAATAATACGACATGGGAGAAAAGCACACGTTCAGCAGAGGTCTGGACCATGGCTGCATTGCTGATCACCTTGAGAGTGACTTCAACTCTCAGGTGTCCTCAACTATAAAAGAGACCCAGATGTCTACCCCACAGTGTTCTCCTCAGGACAGAATGAGATTATGTGAAAGCAGTTAGCCAAGTGTTTGTACAGAAAGTAACAGGACTCAGTATAGGTTCATAAAGGAAGAAAGTTTCACTCTCCTGAGCACAATCTCACCTGTGGATAGTGAAGGGAAGGGGGAATAAAACTTATCTATAAGGTATGCACAGCAAAATTAAGAAAATGACCACCTACATTCATTAATTATGTTTTTATGTAAATATGTCTTACCTCTCTAAGTAGATTGGGCAGAAACCTCATCTTAAATTACTTTGGGAATCTCACAATGGCTTGCTCAGTGCCTTCCATATAAAATACTTCCAATAAATACTGGTGGACTGATTAAACATCCAAAAGAGCATTTATGCTTAGGAAAGGAGCAAATAGAAATCAAAAGATAGAAAAATAAAAATTAAAGATAGAAAAACAATACCTGTAAACTGTTCTCCTTGAGTGATTTCTAATGTGAAAATATTCATGACTGCTTTTCCTTGGATGTTAAAAGACTTACTATATTTTGTGGTAGAAAAACAGCTCTTTATTAAAAAGTACAAATGTGAGGAGTTCACATGAAAACCTTAATTTACCTGATTTCTAACAGATGGAAAAGCAGAACAGTTTAGGTAAACAACAAACAAGAGGATCTTGCTTTAATTTTTAAAACCTGGCAAATATCTAAAAATTAAGAAGACACCTAAAATATATTGCAAGATACGCTTACTTTGTTAAATGAAGCTAACTGAATCATACAGAAGTACTATATAAACTTCTGAAATGAACATTTAAAAAATGAAGGAAAAAGACATTCACTGTTTCAATATTAACCATGTTATCTCCAAGGTTTAGGAAATGTCAACAAGGAATTCAGATAAAATGTAAAGCTGGCTGGTAATTTCATTATCTTAAAAACCAAAGACATTAAATAACCACTGAAGGATTCTAGCTTTGAATCCTCTTAAAATGACAAATTCAAGACTATCTGGACAGTACATACATTACTATTACAGAGAGTACGTCTCAGAAGTTAAAAGCACTCCATGGCTCTGTGCCAAGCCTGTCTTCCAAGAGAGCAGCAAACCAGATGGTAAGATTGAGGACATACAGAAAAATATTTAGAAAAAAGCTATATGTGAAAACTATGCAATAAATTATGCAGCTGCTGTTTGATAACTTAATTCTTTTATAATTTCCTCACTTTCTGCAGATTGAGCCACCATGCAAGGGCTTATATTATGTACAGCACATGAAGAAAACCCAAAGGCCATGCTGCAGTTTTGTGTACTTATGACAGATGCATGTCTGTTCTTTTGTGGAGGCGACCTTCGATAAGAAATCTAAGTTCTATGAGAATAATCTGGATTTGGACAAGCCTATCAGGCAGCAGTGACAAATGGCACTGCAGTGAGCAACTGTGCTCTCTAGTGACTGGCTCAGGTCATCCTTTCCTTCTACAGAAAAGGAGCTAATCCTCTGGGGACCAGAAGCACTAAATCAGTCATTAGTTTTAGAGATGGAGGAATGGACAGAAGGATGGAGACAATATAAATTACAAAAATGTACATCCTGGGATAGATTCTTTAATGCCTCATTACAAGCAGGCGTTCTTCTGGTAGAAGAAGACTTAGATCACAGTCCCACTTAAATACTATTAGTTGAAACAGTTTTCAACTAATGGAATTTCTAAGTAAAAAGAATTTACATCATTAAAAATAAAACCAAAACACATGGTTACTGCTGCTGCCACCAAAAAATCAACACAGGGGCCAACTCTTTCCTGCCTGGATTATTTCAATGGTTTCCTAATTTAACTCTTGCCTCCTATTTCTCCAATCTATTTTCCTCACTAAGTAAATTATCCCTTCCCCCCATTACTCACAAAATCATTAAACTAATATTGGCTTACTTTCACTGAGTTTTTACTCACAAAGCAAATACTGCCTTTAAAATATTGCACTGCTTTTTTATCCAGTGCAGCACTTTAACTGCCCATGTTGTGATACAGTTCACTGTCATCAGTGACTGCATATTTTATGAAGGGGATATAGCTAGCTTTTCTATTATTGGAATTTAATATTTTATAGTTTCTAGTACTTTATAGTTAAAAATAATATGCTGAACATTTTGGACATAACTTTTTCTTTTTTTAATCCCCTGTGTATCCATAAAATGATAAAATTGGACAAACTCTAAACTCTTTTTATTTTAAATTTCTAGGAGTGTGACAGTCTCTTTGGTTAATAGAGTAGCTTTTTTCAAAAACAAATCTGAGTTTATAAGGCACACAGAATATCAGACTAGATTTTGAGGATATTAAAATAATTTATTTCTAAGAAATGGAGAATCTAAGTTTCCACACTTAAGCATAATCCTTAAGAGGGTTTGTGACTATCATCGTGTATCTAAGACTTACATTTTAAAGTGAAAAGGCATAATTAAGACTTAAAAACAACTTTGCATAGAATAACTCCTGAATAAGGTTATTGTTTCTCCCTTCAAATTACTCTAGCTTGTCTGGCACAATCTACAAAATAAAGAGGTTAGAGTCTTCAGCACTTTATTTGTATCTAAAAAGGGCAGTCACAGACTTGTTAAATTTTATAGTGAAGTATTTTTCTAAGAGAAACAAAGTGAAGACACAGTATTAAACTCTGAATGAAGCTCAAATACAGTTTGAGTATCCCTTGTCCCAAGACCTTGGGATCAGAAGTATTTTAGATTTTGGATTTTTTTTTTTTTTTTTGGAGTATTTTGTAGATATGAAACAAGAATTTTTGAGGTAGGACCCAGTCTAAACATGAAATTCAGCTGTTTCATATACACCTTAACATATAGACTGAAGGTAATTTTATGTAGTATTTTCAATAATTTTGTGTATGAAATAGTTTCATGGTGTGGAATTCTCCATCTACAGCATCATGTTGGCACTCTAAGTTTCATATTTCAGACTTTTGGGTTAGGGATGCTCACTCTGAATTGCAATGAAGTGTGTCAATATGAGAAACACTAAAGGTAAGCTGACTGGCTCAAAAATGCATCATAAGAAAAGTCTTCCTCAACTGAATAGGATCTCTTTGTTTTTATAACTACCATAAGAACTGCTTACATCCTCAAAGTGAAATCTCCATCCTTCTTGTATAATCTTTAAAAAAACCAAATGACTGAAATGTACTAATCGTTCATAAACCTCATGAAAATTAAATGAGACTAAGAAGAATCCCATTTTTAAGAGATGCAACAGGAGAACTATTTTGTGACAAATGTACATGTGAAAATGAGGGACTGCTGTTCTAAGCCAGCTAGTGAGTCTCACCTGAGCAATTGATTCTTTTTCCAAATGAGCTCGAGATCCACATGCAATAGCCATTTGATCCTGAGGAAAAAGCAATGAAACAGCATTTCAATATTTAAGTATCATTTATAAGTGTATTTATTTTTTAATGTAAATGTCTCATGTTTAGAAATATTTTAAAAAAAACATTAAAAATCATGGCTGGGAATGTAGCTCAAGTGGTAGAGCTCCTGTTAACAAGCACAAAGCCCAGAGTCCAAACCCCAGTACTGCCAAAACAGACAGAACTCTAGAAATCTTCTAAAGGTTTACTGAGGAGTTCAGCACAGGCACAGCTTTGAGAAGCCTAATCATACTTACTAATAGGACACCAAATTTAATTTGACCAGGGCTAAGCAAAAGAGGCATAATATATTATTTTAAAATTTGTATCTTTTTAAGTGTTTTTTTTTATTAAGAATAATACTATTACTACTATTAGAGAAAAATTAGTGGTATTAGAAAGAAAAGGGTTATTTATAAATGGATATCCAAGAATGGCAACTGAAAAACTACTACAAAAAATAACTTAAGGGCTGGTGGAATGGCCTATCAAGCGTGAAGCCCTGGGCTCATAGTGCCACCAAAAAAAAAAAAAAAAAAAAAAAAAACTTAAAGGGATGAGTATACAGAAAAGGAATATATGTCTAATACTTTAGTCTTCATCTGAAAAACAATAATCAGAAGACACAATGGAAGAAAACACAGCATTTGTAACATGAACAAAAAAGACAAATCTAGAAATAAGCTGCAAGAAACTGGCAACATATGGGTAATCAAGTGAGCGCTGTCAAGGGAAGCAAAAGACCCAACACACAGAAGGACAGATGGTGGTCACTGGTGACAGGGTATGATGACAGCATTAGAAAGTCAGTGCTCCTTACCTTAAGCTGTGAGTTTACGGCCATAATAATAAAAATAACAAAATAACTCTTCATGGATACAAGCTGATTTTAGGATTACTACCAAAAACTAAAGAATCAAGAAAAAAGCCAGGAGAATTCCAAGAGTGAGGAAGGACTAGTCCTAAAGGACTTTAACACCTATGGTAAAGCCACAACAGGTAAAACTAAGGTAATGGGATGTAAATAGAAATTCCAGTCACCAGAGTGGAAAGGCCAAAAACTCATAGAAAAAACCCATGTGAGCACTTAAAATATGATAAAAGTGACATTCTGAATCAGGTGATGAAGGCTGAACTTACAGATGGCATAGGACACCTTGGGAGCAAATAAAGTTGGATCTGAGCTTCTTACAGGAATAATCCAGATATGGCCAAGATTTAAGTGTGAAATGTTAGAAATTGTTTTGTAAATGGTCTCAAAAAAGGGGGCTGGTGGTATGGCTCAAGTGGTAGAGCGCCTGCCTAGCAAGCATGAGGCTCTGAGTTCAAACCTCAGTACTGCAAAAAAAAAAAAAATCTCAAAAAAGGCATGACTATATAAAACACATAAAAAAGATACAGCTAAGTTTGGCATGGTGGAGAACACCTGTAATCCCAGCACCCAGGAGGCCAAGGCAGGAGGATACTGAGTTCAAGGTCAGCCTGGGCTACACAGCAAGATCCTGATTAAAATAACAACAAAAGATAGATCAATTTGATAATGAAATAATAAAAACTGTGGCAAAACAACCAACAAAATATAACAATATTCAAAGTTAAAAAAAAAGTTGAGGAAACATATTGGCAATTTATATTGTAGACCAAGGGTTAACTTCCAAAATGCATAAAGTACGTCTACAAATTATCTTAAAAAGTACCCAACGATTCAGTTGAAAAAGGGAAAGACTCTGAACAGAGTTCACAGAAGAGGAAATGGAGCTGTTAAACAACTGAAGGATCCTCAGTTATACTTACACTACAACAGGAACATGGATAAAACTTGCCAGAGCACTACACTATGCCTGCACATTCCAGAAACATCTGCCAGAATTATAATTGCACACAGAACACAACTCAGCAATTCCAACCAACAGTTCTTCCTATAAATATAAACACCTGCATATGTGCAAAGTGACTTTATGAAAGGTTAATATTTCAGAATTAACTTCATGTCTATCCAAAGGCAGTGGCTATGAAGATGTGAAAGAATGAGGAAGTAGTTTTATGTATAAATACTGTTCAGTCTCCAAGACACACTGTGGTGTCTGTGTGCTATAATTAGCAATTTCTGAAAAAAGAATACATATAACATCTACCTATAAAAGAAATGAATGATACTAGCTACTTCTGGGAGTAACCGAGAAATGAAAGGTGGAACTAGTTTCACTGTGTATCTTTCTTATATGGTTTGAATTTTGGGTAAGTCACAAAAATAAGTGTATATATATGTACATGTAATTCAGGACCTTCTGCTTGTTAGGTAGATGCTCTACAACTTCAGCTATGCCTCCAGCCCTTTTGTGCTTTAGTTATTTTTGGGATAGGGTCTCGCACTTTTGCCTGGCAGGCCTCAGACATATGCCATCCAGTAGCTTGGATTACAGATATGGACCACCACTCCTGGATTGTGGGTGAGATGGGGTCTCATTAACTTTTTGCCTGCAATGGCCTTGAACTGCAATTTTCCCGATCTTTACCTCCTGAATAGCTGACCTAAAATTTAAAAATGCTCTTCATGAAGAAACTGGCAAGCAGGGCTAGGCATGTAGCTCAGTTGGTAGAATGTTTGCCTAGCATGCACAGTGTCTGAGTTCCATCCCAGACAATGCAAAAGAGACTGGCAAGTATATAAATTTACTCATATATGATGAAACTATTTAAAGACAGCCATGTATTATCTCCCTACATAGAAGCAGCCACTGTGTCCTAATATTTTGTATATTTTTATGTGGTCTCTTCCCCTCTGCATTTAAAATACCCACAGCTGAAACTGATTCATGTATATTATGTTCTTTTTCACTTTAACAACTGTCAACACTTGGTCAATCTTATCATATCCCACTCAACCTGAGGTACTGTGAAACAAATTCTAGACATCATATATTACAAACCGTGTTATGTGTTTATATCATAATGCCATCCTATCTCAAAGAGTATTTTCTCTTGACAATAATTGGGTCATTATATCTCTGGAATTTTCTATTTTTAGCACAAATCATGGTTGTAAGGGTTTCAATTTTCTAGAACGGAGGTGGCCCATAGGTCAAATCCAACCTGCTGTTTTTAAGTGGGCCTATTAGTAAAGAGTGTTTTTTTTTTTTAACATTTTCATTTTATTTGCTTATTTTTGGTGCTACTGGGGTTTGAACTCAGGGCCTCACACTTGCTAGGCAGGTTCCCTACCTACCACTTGAGCCACTCCACCAGCAATATTTTCCTTTTATATGCTTTGTGTTTTGTTTTTTGAGACATCGTCTTGCTCTGTAGCTCAGGTTTGCCTGGAATTTACTCCTCTTGCCTCAGTCTCACGAGTGCTGGGATTATAGCTGTGCATCAATCACACTGACTTAGCTTTTTAATTTCTAAAGGTTTAAAATATAAGAAAGAATACTGAAACAAAGAACATATGTGACTTACAAAGTGTAAAATATTTATTCTCCAGTCTATCTCAGAAAATTTTACTATTCCCTGTTAGAGGAAGACCTAGGCCTCAGTGAAGTTTGCTGGCACAACATCCCTGCTCCTATAAGTACTTCTGGTCCTGTGCTGACTTTTTCAATGATGAGGGAAACACATATTGACATGCTGAGATGACTCTCTTGGGAGTTCTGTTATGTACAGTCCATCTCCTCTTATGTGGTCTATAAAACATGATGTTAATAGTCAAGGGGTCTCTTGGATATTTGGTGTACTACCCACACAATGAGGTAAAACTCACCTACCCACATAGCCCATTAAAAAAATTAAACAGGAAAGCAGTAACTGCCATGTTCTTTTAAAAACCAAGGAAACCAAGCATATACGTATACAAAATGTTGGTGCACCAAAGCTTCAACTGGCAAGGACAGTTTGAAGTCAAAGGAACAGTCAGGGTCATTCTGCACTGAGTTGTGTGTAGGCGTGTATGAGATTACGACCGGATCTGACACTTTTCCTTTTATGCTTTTCAGACAGGCTTGCCTGGGACTCGTGATCCTCGTGAGTGAGGGGATTTCAGACATGTGCCGCCATACTCTGTTTCAACAGGTTTTCTTCCTAATGTTATTTTACTTCTTAACTCTTTTATGCCGATTACCACTAGTCATTAGTGGGGTTAAATCTAACTTGTTGGAACTACATCTAAAGGAGAACTGAAGGTCTAAGCCACAGCCTGCGGAACTATTTTGATTGTGAAGTACAGACTTTTGTCACTTACGTTTGCCTGGTCAGGGATTCTAGATTCCATTTTGAAAATTTTTTTTTTTGTGGTACTGGGGCTTGAACTCAGGGCCCACACCTTGAGCCACCCCCACCAGCCCTTTTTTTGTGATGTGCTTTTTCGAGATAAGGGCTTGAAAACTATTTGTCTGGGCTGGTTTTGAACTACGGTCCTCCTGATCTCTGCCTCCCGAGTAGCTAGTATTATTGGCGTGAGCCTCCAGCCTCAGGCTCATTTCGAATTGTTAAAGCCACAGAAAACATGACCATGACAGACTTTGCCTAGAAAGATTATTATAAAACCAAGCAGACTGTTATTAAAAGAGGTAGACGGACCAGTGGTTAAGAAATTGAAAAGTAGGAGGAAAGCTGTGCAGATTAAAAATAAGATATGGAAAGAGAAGGTAATACAAATAAAATATTTGCAACTAAATTTAAGTATAGTATTTTATTTGTGTGTGTCATATAGAGCTCTACTTAAACTGTAGTTTAAAACCCTAAAAGAACAATTATCTTCACAGAAGGAATTGTAGGTGACTTTTCTAAGTTGATGGTGTGAGAATAATCAGACCAGAACATGTGACCTGGTTACTTTAAGAGGAAAGGCAAGTAAGAAGCAGCAGCAAATTTCTTTTTGTCACAATAAATAGTATCAGTTGAGAAGAAAGAAAATACTAGAAGTCACTGAAAAAGGTATTGGAGAAATTAATCAGTCAAAGCAGTGCTATGAAGGGCATTAAAGTCAACTTCCGCCATCTAGTGAAGTAGTTATGTAACTGTAAGAACTGCATTTCATTATTTTCAGAATTATTCCAAAACGTCACTGTTTTTAAGGCTTAGAGGAATATGTGCAAGGAATACTTAATAAGTCTGTGGCTAACATGAATTGAGAAGGGAATAGCAATTGCACGAAAGACAGTCTTTAGAGACTGAATTGATATTCAATGGGGATAAATAGCCACACTTCCATTCCCCAACGAAACAAAGCAAAATAAACAGCAAGAAATCAGTAGAAGGATGGAGTGACAAGGTTCAATGATATTGTATATGAAAAAGAGTTGGAAATATGAACTAGCAATATAATGTGGTTACTAAAACTATACTTATACATTTTTACTGGAAAATTACCAGTATGATAAGGAAAAAAAAATGCCACGTTTAGAAACTTCAAGAACTGCTGATAGCCTAAAACAGAGAAGACACATATGAAACAACTTGGACTCTGAAGGGTGTTACAAAGTAGACATGGCTACAGAAAACAGAACCAACTGAGGGGTATTAAAAGGAGACAGATTTGTATGTAGTGTAAGAGCTTCAGAACTGAGAGACAACATAAGCTGCTTGGGCATCAGAAGGGCTGCGCAGGCAGAGATTGAAAGATCACTTGGTAGTTGTGAAGTTCCCAACATTGGAAAATGACTGAATTATATCAAGGGTCAGCAAACTACAGCCCATGGCCCAAATCTAGTCTGCTGCTTTGTATAAATAAGGTTTTATTGGACACAAGTACGGCCATTCATTGATGTACCGTTTATATAGACTTTTGTATGTAAACAACTGCAGAGCTGAGTAGTTACCAGAGACTGTAAAGCCTTAAAATTACCAATTTTACTATCTGGCCCTTTATAGGAACAGTGTGCTAACACCTGAACCAGACACTGAAGATTCCTTCTAACACCTCTATGCATGTTAGCTCACAGTGTGAATCCTCTGGAGACTGAGTGTTTACAAGCTTTGTCAGAGTCATGAGCAGACAGGGTCTTAATCAAAAAGATTTTTCCTACTTTCCACCTCTAAAATATGTTATGATACATTTGATAAAACTTCACAGAATCCAAACTTCTTCAAGTGAGCTGTGACACTAACAACTAGGCATATCTTAAGGTACTATAAAAGCAAGGCTGTGGATTATCAGCCTAATTACAATCATGTGCTTGAATCTTTAAAGTCTAATATTCACAGTGACAATGCAGTAAGTGGATTACAGTAAAGACCAAAAATGGCATCAGAATTCTTTTTTTGCAGAGTACAGTAAAAGGAACTAGATATTCAAGAGGAAAGTTCTGGACTTTTTCCCTTTTTTTGGTTTGGTGCACTCGCTAACATTGGCTGAATGTTTTTTCTTTGCCCTACTGCACAAAGACACAGAATCACATGCTAAAAATAGACACTTTCTGCCCTTCTCCTAGTCAAGGCTCCCCTAGCTCTGAGGAACAAGGCAAGAGAAAGTTATCAAATCCCTGTGGTTTCTCAGAACCCCAAAAATCAATCCCAATAACTTCACCAATTAGGTTTCTCTTTAGCCTATCATGATTTGCTAAGGGGTAGAAGAAATACCTTTATAGTAAGAGTAGACTGTAACAAACCCAATTATCATTCCATGCATATGCCACATGGCTACGCTGTGCAAGAATTGCTGTGTGGTGGTGGCAATGCTGTCCCAGAAGGCAGGACTGGCCACAAGGATCTGAAAGGTGGCCAGGGAGACTAAAGAACTAAAGTTTTATAATCTAAATTTAAATAGTCAGATGTAGCTACAGTGGTTACTATTTCAAAAAGCATGAATTGTTTTAAGAGTATTAGTTAAGTCATTAAGCATTTTAAAAAATACACAAACACCACCTGCTAGAAGTAAAGGGGAGTGGGACTATATGATGGTGTGGGGAGAAATCCTACTTTACACATTGTAAAATTAAGTATTTTCAGGAAAATATCAATTTTCTGAAATAGCTATTAAAATTTGTTTTTGTAATATTGTTGTTACTTTTTATAATATTACTTTTTTCTATTGTTTGGGTCATCTGTAATACATAGTAACACCTGCTTTTTTCCTCTTTTAGAGGTAAACTTTATTACACTTGGATGGCAGGAGGGGGAGGGACCCTCCTGGGAGTCCCATGTGACTTTATTGCACTGCTCAGGATCCTTGCTGTTATATTACATCATGTCCTCCACAAGCAGACACTTCTCAGAGAAACAGATCTAATCATTTGAATTTGTGTTTCCAGCTTAGCTTAAAGCCCTGAAAATGGCAAGTCCTAGTAACTTTTCTTACTTCTGCTGAGACCCTGCCAATCTGTGTGATGGTGGGGAGGCTCATTGCTTGATAATGTCCATGAGTACTTATCACTCTCTCTGCTTGACTCTTTGTAGACTGGGACAAATTTGGTGTAAAGCTCAGGATTTGGTAAATTTACCTTTGTTCTCTAAATATTTAGCTTTCAAGAGGTGGAAATGGCACTGAATTTTCTTTCTTTCTTTCAATCTCCATTTGCTAAAGTTATGGTCTGAAGCTGTACTTAATCTTTGTGATTTTATTTTTGTTTGTTTCATCTAAAACAAGATCCTGGTGGAGGTAGATGGGGCCCTGAGCCAGGGGGCACTTGGCAGCACACACCTGGTCAACCCCTAGCACCTGAGGCCCTGTTTGACCACATCTACACTCATCAGAGGGACTTGGTGTGTGTGTCCTCTTATTGAAGGGAGGGGAAAGCTGTGGGGACAGAGCTGGAACCAAAAAAATAAAAAATACTCCAAGATTCAGGAAGTCTCAGGCCACATTCTGAATATGCAAAGTAAATATTAAAACTCTGGCAGAAGTTAAGCAATTAGAGAGAGAAAGAGAAAGAGAAAGAGAGTGAGAGAGAGAGAGAAAGAAAGTGAGAGAGAGAGAGAGAGAGAAATGTGACTAGAATGTTCTGGCCATCTTGTCAAGTCATTCTCAGAAAAGCAGTGAATAGTCATAGATTAACCCTTCTATGGGGTTGTAACACATACAGAAATTTCACACCAAAAAACTGCTGATTTTTAAACTTACAGGTCAATTCCTTTTAAATTTTACTATTGCGTTTTTGACTGAATGTTAGTTACACTGTACTCATACTCACAGGCCAGGGCTGAAGATCATTTAGTCCCTTTTCTAGTTTCTCTACATCTGGAAACTTTGTGGCTCCGTCAGCATCTGCCATGAGGATCTTTTCTCCTCGAGAACTGAACACACCCTGTATTTATAAATTTCAAGAAAAAAAAGTTGCTTAAAATTATAGTTAAATTCAGAGACATTTCAGTTCGCTCTGTTATACTGCTGAAAAGGTATTGGGGCAACTTACAGCAGCATATAAAGAACAGATTTATGAGCTGGGCATGATGGTACGTGCCTATAATCCCAGTACTTGGGAGGCAGAGGTAGGAAAATCATGAGTTTTAGAGACACCCTGTCAAAACAGGCACAAAAATTACAACCATCTATCTAGTCATCTATCTACAGATTTACTATGAAATGTGACATAAGACTACAGGTAATATTCTTTATTATGAGACCTAAAGTATTTTAAATTAGCTGCTGAATAAAGCAAATGGAATGTCATTAAAACTTAGGAAGTATCTAATTATGTATTTGGATATATTCAAATGTTATTTTATGCAATTTGAAGCATCTGACTGTTAGCAACACTATGTCAAACCAATTTTGAATGGATTGGTCTCTTGGGGAAATTGTAATTGCAAAGAGTACATATTTCACATGAAATAAATTGTACATCAGCTCATTTCTACAGTGTACCTGAGAAAATTTTTTTCTTAAGTACACATTTATGGTTAGACAATGGATCTTTGGCAGCACTTAACAGTATGACTATAGATAAGATACATCTAAATGTAGACAGAATTTGATCATTTAGTTTATGATGTAATAGGCACATTAACTAGTATCTGATGTCTGTTTACCATGACTATCAGAATGTGTGTAAAAACTTGGGCATGATGGCATATGCCTATAATCCCAGCATTCAAGAGGCCAAGGCAGGAGGATCATGGGTTCCAGGCCAGCCTGGTATACATAGTGGGTTTGAGACCAACCTGGAGTATACAGCAAGATCCTTCTTCAAAAAACCAAAAAGAATGTGTGTAAAAAAGTAGAAATTATTTATCACCTTTAATATCTGAACAAATATAAAGTTTTAGAAAAGAGAAAGCATTAAAAGTCTCATGTCCTGCTATTAATTTGAAACAGAAAACATCCACAATAAGGGACTAATCAATCACATATGATGAGGAAGAACTGGAGATTATTATATAATATTAACAGTTAGTAAAACTGCTTTTTGCTCTCATAACTGTTTAAGCCTCATCTTTTGTTTTAAAGGGTTTCCTTGCTTCTTTCCTGTTCTACTCTATGTGGTCTTCACTTCACTGCCAAACCCCTAGAGAAGGTATTCTGTTCTCCCTGATCATCAGATACGATTGCACCCTATTTCTAATATCCCCCATCTAGCTTTTCCTCTTCTGGAAAAGCTTGAGTGTCAAAACTCACACTCCTTCATAGCTGATGGGCTGTCAGTGGTGAAGTCGAAAAGCTCCTGGTCTGTGGTTCTTGATTTGAACCCACCTACTCCTAGCCTTGTCTACAGTCAATGTGGCCTGACCACTGACATCAGTAGCTCCTCCCTCCCTCCCTCCCTCCCTTCCATGCTGAGGACTAAATCCAGGCCTTGCACAAGATATGCAAGTGCTCTACCACTGAGCTACACCCCAATCCCAATCTTGTTTCTTTTCTATGTCCTGTGACCTAGTCAGCATAACTTGCTGCTTTTAGTACACATCCCAAGAGTTCCTACTTCTGTCCTTTCTGGCTTTGTTGACTTTCTCAAATCTGCAGTTATTAAAGGGAAGTTATTAGAAGTTATCAGAGGGACTCTAACCCAAATCTGAGCTCTACCTCTGTCTGTCTACCTACCTACCTACTTACCTATCATCTATTGTTTTTGAAATAGGGTGTCTCTCTCTCTCTCTCTCTCAGCTATCTATCTATCTGTCTATTATTTTTGAGATAGGGTCTCACTATGTAGCCCAGACTGACCTCAAATCCTCCTACCTCAGCCTCTTGAGTGTGGCGATTACAGGTGTGTACCACCATGCTAGGCCTGACTACCTCTGAATTACTTTGTGTCTTTAAGTAAGTTATTCTACCTATCTAAGCCTCATTTTCCTCAGCTGTAATAATCATGGTGACAGGACCTAACTCATGAAACACTGTGGGATTACATGTGAGTATCACACCTAGTGGTTAATTTGCTCTCCAGCTCAAAATAAACAATCAGTGAATGGAACCCAGTGTTCACCATGGCTGGAGACCTGGCCTGATATCTCCTGCATGAAGTCTGCTTTTTTTTCATGTGGCTGAGACTGCTAGTTACCTGCCCTTCTTCCTTTTGAATGGAACCCTGATTTTGTTGGGAATGAAAATGTTAGAAAAAACTTCCTTGGAAATTGGGATGGCCTCATGACATTGCTCTAGCCCAAGGTAGATGCTAACAGTTTAAACTTTAAGACACATGCAAATATATTTTCCTGAATCATCGAGTATGATACAGATGACATGATGTTTAGATTTGAGAAAATATCTGAAGCTATAATTAAAAGTATGTTGTCACTAACTTGAAATGCTATTTGACTAGCCAGTTGAACAATATATAAACATTACAGATTGCAAAGGAGGTTGTTCAAAATACCTTTCCATTTTACACAAGAATCTGAGGGTATGCATTACCATCCTAATAGCGCCGCCTTTCCCACGATTCTTCACCAGTGTTATCACTCGTACTTTGTCACTTCCATATTTCTGGCAATATTTAAAAGCTACCTGTCAAATTATATAAAAGTCAAAATAAAATTAACTTGGAAAGTAAAGATCACAGATATACCAATTCTGATATGATCAGAACACATTGTATACATGCATTGAAATGCTACATGGCATTCTGTAAATATGTATAATTACTATGTGTCAATTAAAAATACATATAATAAAAAGTAGACTGTACCCCTGGAAATTCTTGGTGGCCCAGGGGGTTGTAGAACTCCTGGTACCAAGAAACGCTGACCTAGTCATCAAAACTACGATGCAATTCCTGCAGAAGAGCTACCGGAATAGACAGTAGCCTTCACCTCTGCTCCTGACTCCTCCACCAAATCTATGGAGCTGATGGGAAAAACAGAGGTTGTGTGTCACCTGCGTGGGGTAAACTGTGCTCAGGCCCTCCACACTGCTTCATGACTTGCTTACTGGTTTTGGTCAGCAGCCGTTCTTGTTCTCCAGAAAGGCTGTCTGTTCCTGGACATGTCTCTCAATTTTTTTCACCTGAATTCCACTCTCCCAGCAGATATTTTCACACCATCAATTCGTCCTTTTCTTCAGACTCTTCCATCTCTGCTTTTCTACTGGCACTTTGACCTCAACCTCATTCAGCCTCCATCATCCTAAAAACGTTCCTTTTACTACCAGTCTGATTTATCATTAAAGTCATGGATGGAACATAATTCAATGGTTGAGTGCTTGCCTAGCATGTGCAAGGCCCTGGGTTTGATCCTCAGCACAACCAAAACAAAAACCAAATCAAAGTCATGAGACAGCACTCTACATTTGCTATCTGCTTTCTTCACCCTCTTATTCTTCGATCCATTATACCATGGTCCATGTCCACCCCACCTCCCTTTTCTAATGTTACTCCATCAAAGGCACTCTTTTCCTTGTTTTTTTCTTTTTTTTGGTTGTTTGTTTGTTGACATCAGGTCTCCTTAGCCCAAACTGGTTAAAAACTAGAGATCTTCTGATCTTCCTGCCTTGGTCTTCCTATGCTGAGATTACAGGCATGTACTATCATGCCTGGCTTACCCTTCTCCAGTTTTCACCACTAACTCCTTTTCCTCAGCTTGCTTCTTAAATGCTGACAATCCCCACACTGCAGAATGCGAAAGCTCAGGGCAGCCTTGTCATTCTCTCAGTACAGAAGCTCTGTGGGAGCTACCACACGGATCCAATTACCGCTTACGTTATGCTATGACTCTCTGTATCGCCCAAACCACCCGTCACCTAGACATGTATCAGATACAAAAACTCCAAAATTTCATCTATCTGCTCCTCCTACTTCTGCTCATTCTATATTCCTTGTTGCAGCAAATGTCACCATAGCCACCAAGATGCTCAAGCTAAAAGCCAGAGAATCATCTTCCACATCTGTCACCTGCTGCAATCCAGTAGCTATGAAATCCATCAAGTTGATAACTAAGATGCTTCTTAACTCCAACCCTTACTGACCTAGTCCAGGACCTTATTCTCTTAAATCTTCATGTCTCCCCTTTCTAATATGGGAATCAGTTCATGAAAGTCCTGTAGGAACATCTTCTTTGATGACCTATTGCTATTAGTATCACACATGAATTTCTATCTGCATCACCCTCAGGTTAACTCCTTCAGCTTCAACTCCTGGTGCTGTCTCTTTAGTACCTTGTAGATCAGCAGTATTAGATCTTCAGTCTTTCTCCAGAACCCGCATTCCTGCTTGCTCACTTGTGAGGCCAGCTGAGATTCAGCTCAAACACCAGTTCCTTACCCTGGCTTCCATGCCTACACTTACCTTCCCCAGGAAAGAACAATGTATAATTCTAGTAACATTATAATAATAATGCTTTTGTTCTGAAAGCATTTTCCTGTTAAAGTCTTACTTATCACATAATAGACCTTCTCCATAAAGATGTGACCTACTTGAAGATAAAGGTTAATTAAGTCATCCCTCAGGATCCTTAGAGGGTTGGTTCTAGGACCCCAGAGGATACCAAAATCAAAAGATGCTCAATTCTCTTATAAAATATGCCACAGGTTTGCACAGAACCAATGTGTATCTTCCTATATATTTTAAATCATCTCTAGATGAGATAGGGTGGTTTTTTGTTTTTTTTTGGCTTGGGCTGGAACTATGATCCTGTTTATATATACCTCTCAAGTAGGTAGGATTATAGGTGTGAGTCATGAGTGCCCAGTCTCTTCTCTCAAATTCTTTATAGCATTCTGTCTTTGGCCTCACTTTTTATTCCATACAGAACTTGCAGGCTTGCCACCCAACTTCCCTGAGGCTCCTTGCACAAAAGCATGAGCTCCTGTGCTTACGTGGACCATGTAGTGTCTGGCACTTCACCCACAGTATTTAGCAAAAGTCACTAGCTAAGGATAATAAAGTAAGTGGGTATTTCCCTGCATGTTTATTTTAAAGTCCTTTATGTTTCCATTTAAAATGACTATTAAGCTGGGTGCCTGTGGTTCATACCTGTAATCCTAGGTACTCAGGAGGCAGAGATCAGGAGGATTGATGTTTGTAGCCAGCCTGGGCAGAGTTCTAGAGACCCTATCTCAAAAAACCCATCACAAAAAAAAAGGGCTGGTGGAGTGGCTCAAGGTTGAACTTGAGGCCCTGAGTTCAAGCCCCAGTACTGAAAAAAAAAAAAAGAAATTGTAAGAAAAGGAGGAACATAAAGAAAGCATAAAGTGGTAGGCAAAGAGGGTTCCCTGGAGGCCACAGTGAGCTGTTGTTGGGTGGGGGTGGGTCCTCCCTATCTGGAGATCTTCAAAGCCTCCCTGGTCAATAGAGTGATGGACCAGCAAATATGTTTTCCAGCTTTCCATAAATAAAATCACTCCTGTCTTTTCCATTACCTGCACTGTGACATGGGAGAGTAGAGGCACACTCTGGGGTTCTCAGGTGAGTGGAAGGAAGACTACATGTCTATGAAGTTACTCCCTATCTTCCAGCTCCCGGCAACTCTAGGAGAGCATGCATTTACCTTTGAAGTCTGGTCTCTACTGCCATCGTCAACTACTATCACCTCGTAAGTGAACGTGGGGTCACGGTTCTGTGAGAAGGAAAGGTGAAATACCATAACTTGGCAACACTGCCATCAAGATGAATAAAATTAAGTAATTTAAGCAACAACATTTTTTAGTGTTGATACATACTAATATAGAGATACGTATCAGTGCACAAACCACATAAAGTAAGGTCTAACAACAAAAAGGAGCGATGAATGAAGGGTGCATAATGATTAAATCTCCGTGTGTGCCTCCCCACTCTCCTCCTCATCTGCCCTGCACTGTGTCTGTGGAAGAAGCCAGGTCCCTGTGGTGCTAAGACACACGGGACAGGCTACAAATGTATAAAAAATGTCCATGATGTATGAAGCCAGAGAGAGCAGATTTCAGCTTGGCTGCATCACTCCTCACCCATATGACCCCGGGCATCCACTAATACATGTGACTGATGTGAGGAGTATGTATAACAGCAGAGGTAGAAGCCTCACATATTATAAGGATTCAGTTCACTTCTGCTTTTCTTTATTTTTAGTTTTTGAGCAACTAATAGTCCCCTATCTTTCAATGAATCTTTTTTCTCCCTTTTAAACAAAAAAATCCCCCAAAGCTGGGTGTGGTGCCTTACACTTGTAATCCTAGCTACTCAGGAGGTAGGAGATGAGGAGAATCATCATTTGAGGCCAGCTTGGGCAAAAAGCTAGTGAGACTCCATCTCAACCAATAAAAAGTCGGGGGTGTGGTGGCGTGACTGTCACCCTGGCTACGCAGGAATTTCAACCTAAGCACAAATTTTTTTAAAATGTACCTCTTAATCTGGGCATGATTATTATGGTTACATAGCAAGACAGACACACACCTCCCCTTCTTGAACCGGTAAGATTGTCGTTTCTGGGAAAGGGAGTGGGATTGGAGATGGTGTTTAAAAGTAACTTTCACTTGTTCTATAGCATTTTAATTTTGTATAATTAATTTATAATTTTAAATATTTTAAGACTGCTAATTTTATGTCAGTCGATATGAATTTAGTGTGTAAAGTTTAAGAAATAAAAACAAGTTATATGGAATATGGTATAAAGATGCCAATGTTAGAAAATTTGAAAAAAAAACTCATCTTTTTAAAAAAGTTTCACAAGTAAAACAGCACTGCACTGTCAATACGCTGTCACTCAATTCTAACTACATCACCAGGAAAGAGAGGATAAAAAGTGGGTGGGAGGGGACATAAAAGAGAAATGTCAGCTTTCTGGTCTGTCCCACCTAGAGGTGGTGTGCTATGCACCAGATCTGCCTACTATTGGCTAGAAGAAGGTCAAGCCACAGGTGGCCAAGGAATCAAGGTTCTGTCACTATGGGGTCCACAGTTGATGCCCTAGTTTGTCCCTACCTCCCCAAAGTGGGGACTGAAGTCAGGGCCTCATGGTGGTTTAGTTTTTGGGAGAAACCATATGGAAAGAGAAAGCAGGATACCTGTCTCTTCTCTAGATATCCCAGGGCTTCGTCCATCATCACAGGCACTTAAAGAAAAAAATATATTAAAGATCGCTTTTGAAAGCCCCAGCAGGCTCCATCTTAGGTAGGGAAAAAGTTCCAATAATCTATGTAATAAGATCCTATGGGACATCCCTCGGGGCCATTCTCATCTGGAAGGTCTGTCTCTTGTTCACATCTTATTATTTCTCCAGAACACTTCAGTCCCATTACCTCAGGGTGCTGCTTCTATTTAAGACACTCACTTTCCCCTCTTCTGAACTATGTGATCACCCACAGCCCCACCTTCAAAGACAATGAAGTCAAACGCTTTAAATTTCCCTTTCTTCCCAAGTTTCCCCTTATCAAAACAACAAAGAGCTTACACCGTTTTTCTTCATTGTATGAAGGCACGACGACAGAAAGCTGTTTGGTAGGCTTGTCCCAGATGCTTGGTAAAGTTTCCTTCTGGCCTTTGGCATTTAGGAAGAACTTCTCTTCTTCGTGTTGGTGAAGTGGTGGCATTTTTGTAGCAGTCATAAATGCAACAATGGAAATCTAAAAGCAGACATAAAAAACATTTGCTATGCTGGCCTTTTATATTTGCTATGTTATAGAATGTATCGTTTGCACGTTTTTTTTTCTTTTAGTAGACTATTCATTCTCAATTTTCAGTTCATTAACAGTTGTTCTGAGAAGACTTCAAAATTAGATGAGTCAGGCCCCTTTAGTCCCTTTCTTACAAATCGATGGTTGTCCTCTTCCATGAGTAAGGTGCTAAGGCTTTACGAGGCCTTTGCTTCTTCCCACCTGTCATTCCCAGGCCTCTTCATCCCAGATCTAACAGGGAACGGTCACTGCAGAACTCCAGTTTCTCTTCCATGTCTTGGGACCTCAATCCCCAGAGAGCATACATGTGCACACGCGCAGGGAGGTCCCATCCCTACTTACAGGCTCTACATGACACAGGACAAATTTACATTGCAGTTGGAACCTGTGGGCTACAGTCATTGGTAGTTTTTGCTTTCTCGTATAATGCTATTCTACCACAAGTGCTAAGTTGTAAATTCACAGACCCCCTGAAAAACGGCAGAGCGGCTTCTTAGCAGCGCTTTCTAGACGGTAATATGAATGCCAAGGAAGCCGAAATCTCTCCATTTACAAACTGGACGCAGGGTCACTCCAAATGATGTGGTAGAGTTCGCTTGGCAGATTTTCCTCGTCCATAGATCAGCAAGTGTATTTAATATTTTTGTGTATCCAGAGCAATGGCAAAAACCACACGAAGACATTTAATTCTGGGGTCTAAGGACCCCACGCAGCAATAACAGAACAGGCTAGGGTCTCTGCTGCTCGCTCTGCGCACCTAGAGGGTCTTCCTCATTCGCGGACCTCTTCCAATCTGCAACGCGTGGCACATCTCCGGGGGGATGGGAGGGGGGGGCGGGCAGCACTGCCAGGGATCGGAGAGGTCGAGGCAGACAGGCCAGGTGGGCAGGGGGCTCGGGATGCAGGGCTGGGTGGGCGCACCCTAGGACCCTGGGCGCACAAGGAGATAAGGGTCCAAAAAGTAACCGAAAAAGGAGAGTGAAGATCCAGGATAGGAAGCCCTGGGGTCAAGAATTTGGGGGAACAGGGCAACAGAGGCCCGTGCAAGGGCAGACAGCGGAGAATGTGCATGCAGGCCGCATGGGTCCCTAACCCGGTGCTCACCAGTAGCAAGACTGCGGCCGCCAGCGCAGCGCCGAGCACCGCCAGCTGCAGCAGGAGCGGAGCCATTCTCCATGCCAGGGCGCCGCCCGCCCTATCCAGCTTCTACACACACGCGGAAGCGCGCCGCGCGGCCAGCCCCGCCGCGGGTGAGGCCGCGCCCGCACGCCGCCCACAGCGCCCCCACGCGGCTAGGCGGGGCCGCGGCCCGGGACCAGCGCTGCGCACGGCGCCCCTGCGCTGCCACAGCAGGGTTTGCAGATCCAGCAAGTCAAATGCAAGACGTGCCCTCCATTCGAATTTCAGATAAGCAGCCAATAGTTTTAACAGCTTCATCGAGATGTAATTCACAGACCACACAAATCTATCACTTTAAAGTGTTTAGTGGGTTACAGTAATGCTTAAAAATTGTGGTACCATTCTAACCATCTTAAGTGTACAATTACATGCACAATGTGCGATCATCACTATTATCTTTAAAACTTTCCCCGCTTCCCCCAGTCCTGCTAATACTAACACGCACTATTTGGGGACAATTCATATTTTAAAAATTACTCATTGCTATTTGGCATTCAAATTTTAGTTTGGAGTCCTGTATTTTACCTAGCAACAGGTAAAATACCTGGAAGGTGGAAGGCTTGAGTCATGACATGTGCAAACACAGCCGCTGCTTTGGAGCAGCTCCACGACCTGCTTGTGACCTGCTTGTGATCATGCGGACGCTCACGTTTCTCAGGTGTCTGGCAGCCCGTCGGTTACCTGGACAGGGTAAGCCGGCGGCGGGAACGCACGCGAGGACCCGGGAGGCGGTCCCGCAGTCGACAGCCTACTACTGTGCACTGGGTTTTCCCGGTAAGTGCCGCGAGACCCTCTATTGTTTTCTCAGGGTCCCTTCACCCAACAGCAGATTCGTCAAAACACTTCCGCGGCGGGGAGCTCAAAAAGGCGGGTCTGAACAGGGGAGGGCGGCGGGCGGGGATCCAGTCTTACGCGGGACCCAACCGCACTCTTCTCCGCCTTCAGTCTCGCCCGCGGCGAGCGCGGCGCTGCGAGCGCGGCCCGGCGTCCGCAGCGAAAGTGCGGCCGGCGTGCGGCGGGGTCGGCGCAGACGCGGCGTGCGGGCGGGAAGATGGCGGCTGGCTTCAAGTGAGTGTCCGCGGCCCTGGCTGGTGCTGCGTGCTGGTGCAGGGCGGCTTCCTAAGTTTACGCTCGGGTGGGAACCCCTGGCCTGGAGGCCGACTCCGAGACCGAGCGGGCGGGAAGCCCATCTGGGCGCTGGGCGAAGTGCGGAGCGGGAAGGCGCGGCGTGGCGTCGCGTCCCCGCGCTCCTCCCCACTTACTCCTAAAAGAACCGCAGCGCTTCCAAAGCCTTTACCTACAGCCTTCACGGGTGCCAGTTGGGTGACGTCTATTGACTCCCAAACAGTGACGTTTTTAAGTGGACGAAACACGTTAAGAGTCTAAGAGAAACCGATGATGCTCAAAGAGTTGTCTCATTGTGTATTAATCCTAAATTCATGATACACGAAGAAAACCTATTTGATCTCTGAGGTTGACGCTGGTTCATTGCCTACAGTCATAATGGAAGAATATGGTAAATTTCAGTTGTAGTTAAATAAAGATGTAACTTTTTCCCTGTACGAAACCCTGCTTCAGAGCAAGAATGACAAGGTGATTTTAACACCTGGATTAATCCTCTTAAAGATGTCAGAAGGCTTTGGACTCCAATACTGATTGTTAGGGCGGCAGTGGGCTGTGATTGCTACTGGAAAGGTAGCTACTTTTTATAATTACTTACAGGTAACAAAATAAACATCAGAATTCATAAAGGAAAAACCAGGTTACAGATTGTGGAGACTTACACTCCCTAGTTTCTGGATTTATGTTAAAATGCATTAACTCACCTTAGATATATTTTTAAATATTTCAGAACTGTGGAGCCTCTGGAGTATTACAGGAGATTTCTGGTGAGTAAAGGTGATTAGGTACATGTTTTATGCATTTTGGGAACAATATCATATGGTTCTTTTAAAGACAAATTTCACTTAATTCATTATAGTTAATGAGGTTTAATTAGTTTCTCCTGGTGTATGTAAACTACACATGTAGTCTGTTTTCCTTAAAAACTTAGAAAGAAAACTGCCGTCCTGATGGAAGAGAACTTGGTGAATTCAGAACCACAACTGTCAACATAGGTAAGGCTATATTTAAATTTCAACCATATGGCATTCCCAAGCTCTAACCCCTGTACCTCTTAAGGTTTTTCAGGCAAATTCTACCATGTGTAGAATTTATTTAGAATGTAATTTGATTTTGTATCAAGAGCTTTTTATCTGAACAGCCCTGTGACTGAATAAGAAATTATAAACTCAAATTGAAGGGCAGTAAAGTCACTCTTAAAACACTAATGCTAATTTTTAATAGTAATACCATTTTAAAACTAACGGCTTGAACTTTGCATAAAGTTTCACAGGCAATCGGTATGTATAACAAGATAATCCTATACAGCAAACTAAATCACTTAATTGTATCGGTAATTCCGTACTTGTTTTCCTTGGTTTTTTATTTTGCTTAAATACTGTACTTATATTTTCAGGTTCAATTAGTACTGCAGATGGTTCTGCTTTAGTAAAGCTGGGAAATACTACTGTAATCTGTGGAGTTAAGGCGGTAGGTATGACATTTGAATTATCAAATTAGCTTCACGTACTTACAAAATTGTAATTACAGTATAATTCTAATGTTGAATGTGCTTTTACTGTCTTACTTTCCCAAGTGTTTTTGTGTATGTATATGAGATAATGCACCCCAAGTTTAATGACTAAAATGAAACAGGGTTTTAAATCTTCATCACCCTAAACTTTTAAAGAATTTGGTTATATCATTTGAGAAAGTAAGATTTTATGGTGGCATCCTTTTTGCAATCATGGCCTTTTAATCTGTAAATCTGCAGAGAATTTCATACTGTTCAAAAGAGAAGCTTGAGGGAATAATAGTTAGCATTTATTGATTACACTGTTACTTAACCCAAGTTCAGATTCTATCTGTAAAGTTGGGGTGATATCTAACAGTACGATGAACACTTACTCCTTGCCAAGTTTTATGCTGGGAACTTAATGGCATCATCTCCTTTGGTCCTCATGAATAGTCCCTAGGAGTAGGCACTATTATTCTGCCCACTTGACAGACAGGAAGTTAAATACTTGCCCCAGATCTTTAAGTAAGTGAGAGTCTGACATTTGAACTGACCTAGTGACTACAGAGCTCTTGAACACTGCTAGTATCTAAGTCTGGCTGTGTCAATGTCACTTGTGGATTAAATTTGATTTTTTGGCTACTGTGAGTAGGAGGGAACATGGGGCAGAAGCCTAATTAACATTTTTTTAAAAGACCCTAGGTAATGTAAGCAGCACATGGTCTACTATGCTGTACTGCTTTTTTAGCTTACAAAGCTATTGTGAGGATCAGTGCTAATTTCCTGAGAGCCCCTGACACATTTCCCTAAGCACAGAAGATACTTCTGACATGATAGTTAATTAAGCCAAGGTGGTCTTTGGTAATGCCTTCCACAACTAATTGCTAAAATGTCTTCACCATTTTTTGGTAGCTTCTTTCAATAGGAAACATTTGTTTGCTTCTTTAGGAATTTGCAGCACCACCAGCAGATGCCCCTGATAAAGGATATGTTGGTAAGTAAAATGATTTTGCAGTTTTAACACATATACATTTAATGCTAACAACTATAGTTAAGTCCTAGAAGTTGAGTTAAAGTTTTCTGTATATGTTAGCAGATAGCATTGATACAGAATTTCATAAATTTATCAAACCTGTTTGGTCACTTTGTGTTTACATATTCAGGTGTCCTCAACCAATGAAAGTTTTTAATCTAGGTGGCTGCCATTTAGAAACTCTGTTCCCATAGGCTTTTGTTTTAAACCAGTATGTTACTATTATTTTTTTTCTTGTCTTGGATCATCTGTTCTTTGTGGTAGGAACCAACATTTTTAAAATGGGGGGAAAAAATGTTAGGTATGCGTAGGGGTGGTGGAAAGTCTTGTTCCAGATTCAGGTATTTTGAAAGAAGCCAGGAAAACTTTTAAGATTCAGGACTGAAGCCTAATCAGATGCTGAAAAAAAGTAGAAAAACAGAGAAGTATAAATTTCTTTTTATACTTAAAAAGAATCTTAAAAGACCAAAAAGAATTTGTCATGTTACGATGCTTTCCACTAGGAGAAAGTCTATCTGTGGCCATCTCTTTGGGTATGGGTTGATAATACCTTTAACCCTTTATAAGGGGAAGTTTAGTTCATAGCTGCAGTGTTTCTTTCAGTCCCTAATGTGGATCTACCACCCCTGTGCTCATCGAGATTTCGGTCTGGACCTCCTGGAGAAGAGGCCCAAGTGGCTAGCCAGTTCATTGCAGATGTTATTGAAAAGTAAGACTATGCTGATAAAGTTTTACTGTCATTCATTTTCAAATAGTTTTTGACCTTTCATTTTCTGTGCTTTATCATTAAATCAAGTTCACAGATAATTCAGAAAGAGGACTTGTGCATTTCTTCAGGAAAGGTAAGAGGAATAAAGAAGCAATGAGTTTTTATTCTGGAGTGTTTTTCTGTGGGGAAAAGTGAGTGGGAAAATTAAACATTGTCTGGAGATCTTATAGATTTTAGGTGGAATTCTTAAAAAATCAATCTTATTTGCTATCTCAATTATGTAGCTAATAAAAAGGCTTTTTGTTTAATTTTTGGAGATGGTCTCAATATGTAGTCCAGGCTGGCCTTGAACTTGATCCTCTTACCTCAGCCTCCAAAGTAGATTACAGGTGTATGCTACCATATCCTGCTAAAAGCAAACACTGACTTATTCTGTCTGGGCGCTAGCTCTTACACTAAGGTAATCCTAAGAAAAGTGCAGCCATTTTGTCTTCCTTATTGCAGATTAGTTTTTGATTGTGCTAATAATGTTTAAGGTTAATCCACAAGGTAGATTTAAAAAATGTTTGAAAACTCAGAATTAGGTTAAGATCTACATAGCTTTTTCCTATTACATGATGTATAGATTAGCACTGTACACAAAGCTAAATTTCATGTAAAAAGGTTTCTGTGGAAAAGTACATATTGAGTTTCAGCTAGGGCTTTCTAAAACCATTTCCCTCATCTGCGAACCAACCTAGCAGCAAGAATACAAATTCCTTACACACTTATTCCCTTGAGGGAGCTGGAGATGTCATTTGTCAGGTTTGTAGTCAAAAACCAGCTTATCAAACCTGTCCACTTTGATTTTCTACTTTATAAACAAAACATTTGCCCTTGAAGTGTATCTTGCCTAAGGGTTCTGTAATTCTTAGGTCTAAGCAAACAGCAATGTGTTATCTAGAAGGAGTTTAATTTCTTTTTGTGTAAATTCTATTTTAGCTTGCTTGGGTTCTGTACTGTGATCTTATTTGCCTCGACTATGATGGAAACATTTTGGATGCCTGTACATTTGCTTTGTTAGCGGCTTTAAAAAATGGTAAGCAATCTTAGTAAAAGGCAATATTCCTACTAATGGGTCAGAATTTTTTTTTTCTTTTCTTTTTTGCAGTACTGGAGTTTGAACTCAGTCTATACCTTAAGCCACTACACCAGCCCATTTTTGTGATTTTTTTTTGAGATAGGATCTCAAAAACTATTTGCCAGGGCTGGCTTCAAACTAAAATCCTTCTGATCTCTGCTTCGTGAGTAGCTAGGGTTACAGGCATGAGCCACTGGTGCCTGGCTCAGAATGTTGTGTTATGAAACATTTATTGTATGTTTGCTTGATAAAGTTTAAAGATTTTTTTTCTCAAAACATTCATCTGTTTCTAAATTAACAAATGACATGTTTTTTCAAATATACTTGAGAGTTTTATATTCTCTAGTGAAGGTCTTTGTCACTGTTTCCTTGATTATATGCATGTGTTAAGAGGTAGGACTACAGTCCTTTTCAAAACAGCACTGATAACGAGGGAATGAAATTTCTAACTACAGTCCAGGTGGTTGGTGAAAATACAACCACCTACAAGTGTTCACCAGGTTCTTTATGTGTTGCCAAAGGGGAGGAGAGTAATGTACTCCATTGTTTTATATGTAAAGCCATAAATGTCACTTTTTTTTTTCCTAAAGCTATACTAAGGATTCAACTCAGAGGCTTATGCTTGCCTGTCAAGTGCTGTACTCCCCCTCCACTACCAGCTCTTTCTCTTTTGCTTCAGTTATCAGGGCAGGCCTCAGATTATAATCCTCCTACCTATGGCCTCCCCTTTAGCTGGGATCATAGGTATGCACTAACATGCTCAGCTTGCTGAGATGGAGGTCTCGCTAACTTCTTACCTGGGCTGGCCTTGAACTGCCATCCTCCTAATCTCCACTTCCTGAGTAGCTGAGATTATAGATATGAACCATGTTGGCCAGTCTACATGTCACCTTTAATAGTAAAGTTTCTTGGTAAGGCGTCTAGGTAGACTGACTTGTTAAGATTTCAATTACTTGTGCATATCCCTCTCATTGCATTGCTGAAATAACACCAATTATTTAAGCCAGGCATGGTAGTGCATGCCTTTAAACCCAACACTCCAGAGGCTGAGGCAGAAGAATGAGATTTGAGACTGCATAGCTAGACCTTGCCTCAAAACAAAGCAAACAAAATCTAGTTAATTGGTGGTAGAAGATGTAGTTAGTAGCAGTATTGTAGTAACTTAAGACTTAAATTTGAATCCTGCCTGTTATTACTCTCTGCTGAGAATTTCTTATCTGTAATAAAATGGGAATAACAGTACTTTACGAGTGCTGGTGACTGCATTGATACCGTGAAAATGTTTCTTGCATATAGAAAGCAGCTAGACATTTGATTTCTTCCAAAGTGTAAGAGGAGGTAGGAATGTGAGCTGTTCTGAAAAACAATGCTTCTTTCCACTAGATTTTATCTTAATTGTTCTAAGGCACATTTCAAAAGAATTCTCTAGACAAGTTAGAGGGACTAATGAATTAAGAAAGCATAGAAACTGTTTTATACAACAGACTTAACTTTACATATCTGCCCCTTTCTAGTACAGTTGCCTGAAGTTACTATAAATGAAGAAACTGCTTTAGCAGAAGTTAATTTAAAGAAGAAAAAGTATTTGAGTATCAGAACACATCCAGTTGCAACTTCCTTTGCTGTGTTTGATGAGTAAGTTAATCAAAAGCATTTAAAAAATTCTGTATTGGTTAATGTAATGGCTTGTTACTTGGAAGATGCCTGAAGTGACCACACCTCCTAGTTTGCCCCGGAAATTTTGAGACCATGCACTATTATTTGTAGTGAACCCTTCCACTTTCAAAAACATCCTGATTTGGATGACTAATTTTGTACTCACCTTACTTGTCCCAACTTGGTTTTATTTATTCTATTATTCTATTTTTTAAAAGGCAATGTTCTACTACTGAGTTATTACTCCAAACCCTATTCCTATATAATTTTGAATTCTTTCACCAAAGACTTACTTGAAGTTATCTTCCGTATTTGCCAAGAACTAATACATTCACAAACTGGAAAGCAAAAATATTTTTAGGATTACTAGATTTTAGGTTGCTATTTAACTTGTTTCCTATTCTGGCTGCTCTATAAGCTAACATGCAAATATGATGTTTAGTGTTCTTTTAAAGTGAAATTTGGTAATTTGACAAATTGATAACCTACTTGAAAAAAAAATTTAAATAGCACATTGCTGATAGTTGATCCTACCGGAGAAGAGGAGCATCTGGCCACAGGAACTTTAACAATAGTAATGGACGAGGAAAGCAGGCTCTGTTGTCTTCACAAACCAGGTAGGTAGATGCTGCAAACTCAGTGTGAGCTTTATATTAGGGAGGGCCACATGGAATGTGGGATGTTTCATGGTTTACCTCAGATTACATTTGTTTTGGTGGACTGGAGGAAGCAGGGCTTCTTGCTTGAGCCATGCTTCCAGTCTGTTTTGCTGCGGCTGTTTTGGAGATGAGGTCTTGAGAACTGTTTGTCTGAACTTGCCTTGAACCTCTTGATCCTTCCCATCTTAGGCTCCCAAGTAGCTAGGTTTACAGGCATGAGCTGCAGCATTCAGTTCATAAGTGGTTTTAAACTTATGGCATAGCCTAGATCTTTTTAAAACATAACTTACAGATAGTGAGACCACACCATTGATTTATAAACTAAGATAACTAAGAGATTAAAAGTGCTGGCATAATAATTTTTCAGGTGGAAGTGGACTAACTGGAGCTAAACTTCAGGACTGTATGAGTCGAGCAGTTACAAGACACAAAGAAGTAAAAAAACTAATGGATGAAGTAATTAAGAGTATGAAACCCAAATAAACAGCCACCACATTTTCAAAACAGATTTGTAAAAACTGTATTTGTTATACTGTCCACAAACTTTTTATACTAAATAAATATCAAACTACATTCTTCTGAAAGATGTTTCTACTATTTTTTAGGTCATGTCCACGTATATTATGTACAGCGAAACCATTTTGAAAAAGCAATGACTTAGGCAGTTTCCCTGTTTTCATTTAAAAATCAAAGGGTTGTGCTTCTGTAGAAATAGCGATGTAAAATACTGACACCTTAAAAAACAGTAGAAACTCAATTCTTTTGATTCAATGCTCTTCTGTTGTTTTGTTTAAAAAAAAAAAAAAAGAACTCAGAATTTTGGAGTGGTTGGTGTGCCTCTCTTCATTTTACTTTTTGACTGGCTGCCTGTATGCCGATGCCGATGTAGCTGAGCTGTTTGTGCTGCTGCTGCTGCCACAGCCATTTGATGCTGCAAGAATCGCAACTGCTGCAAAAGGGAGGGGAAAAAAATCAAGTCACGGAAAGGCAGGCACATATGGGAAGGTGCTTTTCCTGAGCGTGATGGAAACAACAAAACTGAAAGGGAGAAAGGGACTATAACACTGAGACAATGCACAGTCAAACAGCACCAGTGGCACAAAAGCCTGCTGAGGGCTTGAAAAGTGATTCTTTGCAAACTTCACAAATATTTGTTACTTAGCCCTGCCAGTCCATACTGCAGTAACTCAGCAACTTCAGTTACCATTTTGTTGTAGAATGATAGTTTATAGCAAAAAACCACCCTGAATATCAAGATAGTCAACTCTTAATATGCCGACTTTCCTTCCTAAAATAACATTGTGCTAAATAAACAGATATGACATTTACTAATGGGAACACTTTTCTGCAGTACAGTATTAGAAAGTTTAACATTTGGCACTTAAAACTGTTTCAGAATATACTGCAAACTAGAAAGAGGTACGTTAATGTGCCACCAGCATGTCAAGAAAGACTTCTTAGGAAAATAAGTGCATAAAATAAGTGTATTCAGTGCTCCAAGCTGACTGGCTAAAATGTCAGACTTTTAAATTAAACTTAGTAAATTATTTACCAATTACTGCACAGTCTTAAAAGACAGTAAAATAAACCTAAAGCATGGTATTTGGAGGTACTTTTGGAGCTGAGTATCTTAAAAAATGTAATCAGAGTGAAGTTGCTGGATTACTTGTATTTGTTGCTGCTGCTGTTGAAAGGCAGAGGAGAGCTGGAATCTCTGCTGAGGAAGGCTTTGCTCAGGTCTGTTCTCGGCAGAGCCAAGCTGAGACAACACTACAGAGAGGAGAAGGGGAAAGCAGGCCAGTCAAAAAGTTTGAAGACTACCAGGGTTAGAAAAGGACAACACAGAAAATGAAATAATAGAAAAAGTTAGCAGTATGATTAATTTTAAGTATCAAATCACAGACATTTCAGAATAAACTTAGTTCTCCTGTTAGTTGAGGGTACCACTGATACGAAGCTTTCTGGACATAGAAAGGGAAGGGGGTACACATGTGCCAAGGCACTGTATCCCTCCCTGTCTTGCATATCAATGAAATCTGGTACTGGTAATATTTTTTAGAAGTCTTTCCTGTATAATATAAAGGAGCACATTATTTTATAAGCATACCCATGAAGTGGAAAGGGGGATGGAAGAAATCCAAAGTATCATAATGACAAAACTAGTACAAGTGCTTTAAACAAAAGATATGGTATCATACTACTCTATTAATGATAACAGTGGTGAACTAACATTATTGTTTGTTCATGTACAAGTGAGGAAGGTTAAAGCCTATACGGTTTAAGTGATTCAAAATAGTTAGTGGTAAGCCCAGAGACCAGAGACAGAAACAGTCTCATGGTTTTTTAGCCTAGACTTCCACTAGATTATACTATTAGCTATTTTAGAAAATGTGGCAAAGACATAATTATAAACTTCAATTTGGAAATTAGCTCTAAACTAGAACCTTAGATTTTTATTTTCAAAACAGTGACCTTGATTATTCTATTCTAAAGGTTTTATAAATTCAGAAACTGGAAGTTGTACAGAAATCTAAGGACATCATAGTAATAAATAGTGATCATTATCATTTATCACAGTGATAAATCAAAATGTTGACATATTCACTGATTAAATCCTCAAACTCACAGCTTTCTAATGCAGGTGGCTTACCGATTTTAAGTAAATGTGAAGTATGAAGTATTGTCATTTGTCAAGACAAGATTCACTGTTTTGTTTTACTGTTTACTGTTGGAAGCAATGAGTAATCACTCAGTTTCATTTTTTTACAAATGACAAAAATGATTCAAATTATGCTACTAACTATGAATAAGTAATGCAATAAGCTATGACAATGAGACAAAAGAGTATGCAAGGTAAGAAAATGTAGTCTTGTAAAGACTGAAAACTGCTTTGATAGCTTCCTGATAAGTTCATTAATTGGATAAATTTTGTCAAAAAACTATAATTAGAAGAACAACTTCTATATTACATAATTCGAAGCTCTTAATGGTCAAATTAATGAGAAAATCTCAGCCAGCCCTAAACTGATGTAACAGTTTAACAGATTTAATACAATTTTGTTTTTTCATGTTTACTGCTTACAAGTGAAGAAAAAAAATAACAAGTGGTGAGATCCCAAATGACTTTTAGTAAGTTCAGCTTATGAAGTTAAGAAGATACATACCAGCTGCCTGCGACTGCATAAAACTTCCTACTCCAGTCAGATTAATAACAGCAGCTTGCTGAGCAGACAAGGCCTGTTCTTGACTAGTTGAACCTTGGTCAGACCCCTGAATTTAAAAAATAATAAATGACTTATACAAAAAAGAAAAAAACATTAAGTTGGTGAACAGAATATATTTTCTTGTTTGAGGGGGGAGGAAAAAAAAAAACCAACATTACCTTAGATCTTATAAAAGAAATAACGTAAGGGATAGACTATACAACTAAGTAGAGTTAGTAAGAATTGAAAGAAAATAAAAGTTTATTGTTTAGAATTAAATTTGTATTTTTTTACAGTTTTAAAATTTTTTTATTTTTTAAATTTTTATTTTATTCATATGTGCATATCTCCCCCTTCCCCTACCCCCTCCCCCTTTCCCCCCGCCCTGTATTTTTTTACTTTTAATGCTACATTAATCCCTAAGACTTTTTGTTTTGGAGACAGTGTCTTACTCTGTTGCCCTAAGATTTCTTATAAAGCTTCATTAAAACATATTTTTTTTTTTTTTTTTTTTTTGGCCAGATGCCAGTGGCTCACACCTATAATCCTAGCTAAGCAGAGATCAGGAGATCATAATTTGAAGCCAGTCCTAGGCAAAATAGTTTGTGAGACCCTATCTCAAAAAAAAAAAAAAAACAAAAATAACAAAAACCCACCACAAAAAAAAGGCCTATCAGAGTAGCTCAAGTGTTCACAGTGCCTGCCTATCAAGCATGAGGCCCTAAGTTCAAACCCCAGGGCCACCAAAAACCATTTTTTTCTTTAAAGCTTAAAATGCTCTTGCAATGCAGCTTTGGGATTTCTTAACTTAGCTTCAAGGAAACAGGCATATAGAATGTAAAGGAAAAAAAATGTTCTTACATGCAAATGGTCTGAATGTCTAGGTGTCATATACTGAGGAATTTATTAAAAGATAGTAGGTTTACTAAGATTGGAAAATAATAGATCAGCATATAGAATCAATACTGTAGCTGGGCAAGGTAGTACACACGTGTAATCTCAGCACTCAGGAGGCTGAGGCAGGAGGATTAAGAGTTTGAAGCCAGCTGGGCTACACAGAGAGCTCCTGTATCAAACAAACAAACTGATCAACCAAAGCAACAAATCAAAACAAACCCAAAAACCCTCCAATACTATATACTAGTAGGGCCCAAATTAAAGCAGTACCATAAATGACTTTAAAGAAGAAAAAAACTTATATATGTATCTAACAAAACATACACAGGACCTTTCACCAAAACACACAAAATACTGACTTTGGCCTACAAAGTATGTGTGGTTCATGGTTCATGGACTGGCATAATAAGGAAATATTAATGAAAGCAACTGTCGCCTAACAACAGATTTAATTCAATTACTTAACAAAGGTACAGAAGGAATTTAATTGAAGAACAACTGCTTTTCAATAAATGGTGCTGGAGCATTTGGATATTCATGGCCAAAATCTGATCATGGACCTAAGTCAATGCCTTATACAAAAATTAACTACAAATGTGTTGCAAGTTTAAAACAGAAAACTATAAAACTGTTAAAAGAAAACAGGAGAAAATCTCTGGAACCTAAGGCTAGGTGAAGCATTTTTAGTCATTACACATCAAATTCATTCTGTGGTTGTTATTTTTGTATTTTCTTGAGACAGGGTCTCACTATGTAGTCCAGGCTGGCCTCTAACTCACAATTTTCCTGCCTCAGTCTCCAGAGTACTGGGGTTACAACCACCACACCAGGCTATAAAGGAAAGCAATTAACTGGACTTCATCAAAATTAAAAAAATTGTCTCCTGCAAAAAGACACCCTTTACTACCACCTAAAGTAATGTCTGAAATAATACTGCAGTGTAACATATAAGACAAAAACTACATTTATCTTGAGGGGACACTAACTTAGGAGAAATTACGTAGAAGAACTTGGCGTTGAGTGACTCAGAGAACCCTCTTGAATGTGGAACTCAGTTCATGAGATGAATAATATATCGGCACTAGAACAGAGATTATAAAATAAAAGAAAACCTAAAATGCAAAAAACCATAGCAGATAAAATTACCTCCCTAAAAAGACTTCACAAAGCTAAATAAAGTTACGTAATCACAAATAACCTAGAAAAAGAACAAACACCTATAAGAAGTAACAATACTAATAAATAAAAACACCCAGGTAAAAACAAAAATTAACCAAAGGAAGCAAAAAAAAAAAAAGAATTACCAGAGACACAGAAGAGATACAGAAGGTCACTTACTAATTTTAAGGTGTCAATTAATCGAGGACTTAACAATCCTAAAATATGTATGCCTCTAACAATAGTTTCAAAAACAACCTTGAAGTGGGGCCAGGTGGGGTGGGGAACACCTGTAATTCCAGCACTCAGAAGGCAGAGGCAGGAGAATTTCAAGTTTGAGAACCTATCTCAAAAAAAAAAAAAAGTCTTCAGCAAAAGCTAATATAACTGGAAGAAAAAAATACCAATTTCCATGGTTTGGGTTGGAGACGTCAACAGATACTCTTAGTATTTAATAGAACACACAGAAAGCAAGTCAGTAAGGTTGTACAAGACCTGAATACTACCATTACTGTGCTCTGATACAGAATGCTCCTAAAGAGAAACATAATTTTGACACACGTTAACCAAGACAGACCATATTCTGGGCAATAAAACAACATCAACAAACTCCAAAGAAATGGAAGTTTATTATGAGACCATAAGTGGATTTAAGCTACAATTACAGAAAAATAGTATAGGAAATGCTTATTTCTACAAATAAGACCACTTGAAATATATGAGAAATATGTCCTATGTTCTATGGTAAAACCATAGGGAGGGTTAAAATCCACATACCTGCTCCCCTGGCTGTTGAGGACTAGAAGCTGTGGGCTGCTGAGGTGGTTGTGGTGCAAACTGTGAGAGTTGCTGCTGTTGCTGCTGCTGCTGCTGTTGCTGCAGGGTGTTAAAAATGACCGAACCACCAGGAAGCTATTCAAATTATAAACAAGAATTAATCAGCCAACTTTAAATTATTTTACATGAAATATTTAGATTCTTTATTCTACAAATGTTAATGGAGCATTTATTATGTGTTAGGCACTGTTCTTGGCACTGAGGGAAACAGGTGAGCAAAAGCAAAACCAGGGATGGGGATGAAATTCTGTGGTAGAACACTTGCTTAGTATGTGCAAGTCTCTGAGTTTGATCCCCAAAAGCACACACATACAAAGACACAAACAACAAACCCCAGCAAAACAAAACAAGTTGCCTGCTCTTTAAAAAGATCTGCTTTTTATTTATTTATTTATTTTTTGAGTGCTATTGCTTTGGATCCCAAAATATGTTAATAACTCATATTTTTTGGTGATTCCAGAGTTTGAACTCAGGACCTCACGCTTGCTAGATCCACGTCTTTAGCCTTTCTGCTCTGATTAATTTTGAGATAGGGTATTGCTTTTTGCCCACAATGATTCTCCTATTTTTGCTTTCCTGTGTAGTTGGGATGATAAGCATGAACCACTATGCCCAGCTTTTATTGGCTGAGATGGGGGGACGGGAATCCTCACAAACCTTTTGCCTAGGCTGGCCTCAAACCACAATCCTCCTGATCTCAGCCTCCCAAGCATAGCTAGGATTACAGGCTTGAGAAACCACACCCAGCTATTAATACTCTTAAATTTAAATATCAGCTATTAATACTCCTAAACATAAATCTCTCTGCTTCAAATTAATAGCTATCCAAATTGACATACTACTTTTTATCTAGCCCTCCTTATACATCAACATAAAAGAACATTAAATGCATTAGAAAGAATAAACAAACCAGGTATGGTGACACATGCCTGTAACCCTAACACTAGAGAGGCTGAGGCGGGAGAATTAGCCTGCCTCAGCTATATAGGGAGAACCTGTCTCAAAAAAGAAAAGAAAAAAGTGTGAATCAGAAATTTATATTAAAACAACCCACTCCCTAAAATTTGTTTTAGCTCTGCTAAAAAACCTAAAAATGCATGGATTTTAATATAACATGAAGAATCTGGAATTGAAAAAAATGAATTAAACGTCATACTTAGTGTGGAGATCATTACTTGCTCTTCTTGTGAACTTAAATTAAAAACAATTTTATGAAGCATACAGAAAATTTCAGATTAAAAATTAATAATGCACCAGAAAGATAGTTTTTCCATTTTAAGCTAGTGAAGTTTTAAGTTATAAGCACTTTGAGGTCCTTAGAAGAAACGCCAAAGTAAACACCAACCATAGAACTTTTAGGTCTGTATAGTTTAAAAAAAAAAAAAAAAAAAAGGTGGGGGGGGGGGGAGTGGAGCTCTGAATAAAATATCTACATCCAACACAGATCACTGGTTAGGTAAATTTGGACACAGCACAAGTTCAATGTCCTTTCTCAATCAACAGATAGTAAATGTAGGGGAAAAAAATGGCCTTACAAGCTGGCTTTGTCCTTATTCCTTTTTATCAGTGTTACATAGGATTTTTCCTCCTCTTAAAAGTGTGGGAAGCTCCCCCAGAGAAAAATTCCAATAGCAACATGCAGGGAGGCAGTCTAAGTAAACCAATGTGAGCTAGTCTTGTCCGTATCACAAGTATACTATTCTGCAAATACAGTCTACAAAACAACACATTTGTGTCATGTGTAAGAAATAAGTGTAAATTTTAGCTCTAAGCAAATTTTCTGATTTGTTATGACTCAATACCAGGTTAGGTAAGCTGTTAGTTACTGCCATTTCCCAATAATCCATAGCTCTGCCATTTCTTATCATCAGATTTCTATATTCAGATCTCCCTTCAAGTTCTCTGCAGATAATTTCATCCAATTTTGAAACTACTAGGTTAATACCTGCCTCCTTTAAATTAAAGAACATAGTATAAGACCCAAAATATTCAGATTCACAATATGTAAATTCTCCATCTTCTCTTTCTCTCTCTCTGTGGTGCTAGGGATTGAACTCAAAGCCTTGATTCATGTTAAGTAGGTACTCTACTGCTGAGTTATATCCCCAGGCTCCATATTGTGTCTTTCACTATGAACATGATGACACAATAACATGTAGAAAATCTTCATCATTAGATACATACTACAAGCCAACATTTACTGAATGACTAGTAGGTACCTGTCACTGCACTAAAGTCATGCTGTCTGCTAGGCATGGTGGTGCACGCCTGTAACCCCAACACTTGAGGCTGAGGCAGAGGATCATGAGTTCTGGACAAGCCTGGGATACACAGTGAGACCCTGTCTCAAAACACAAAAACCAAAAAAAAACAAAAAAAAAAAAGAAAATGATACTGTCTTCAGGGAAAGAACATAGTCATTTAAAAAAACTCCATTCAAGCACAAAAATCTATTGTAAGCAAAGAGTATACATACATGTATGCATAAAAATGAAAAGAGGAATTTGTGTATCTACGACCACTATAGTAAGCACATATCTGCCTAAGTATGCATAAACTCTCCTGACTGGAGCAGCTATATCTTGATTAGGCAGGACTGCTGGAGAAAACGAAAAGTACGCTCTTATGAAATACCAATTCTTTCTCCTTATTCATTGGACCACACAAAAGTTGCAAAACCACACCTTTAGAAGATTCTGAACAGATCTCAAATCTTCAAATATTGACATGTAAAGATATATATTCTTTTATAAAAATCAAAATGTAGCAATTGTCATCAAAAGCAGTTTTTTAGGTTTACCTGGAGTAGATTTAAAGGCCTGAGATTTGAAGTATTTTTTAAACCAAACGGAATACCTGTTTAAAAAAACTCATGGTTATAATGGCATTGAAAATATTACCCATGAAAATAATTTATACTGTAGTATATATAAATACATTTTACGTACTTTCTCAATAGATGTACTTATTTTCATACTTCTAAGACATCTTTAAAAAACCCCAATTTTCTTATTTATCAATACTAGTATCTAATTCAAAATATAGATTACTAGATGTACAGTACATTCTGTATTTTAGAAGCAGACTTCTTTTTCGCTATTCTAACTATTAGTTGGACAGTGTATTCTAGAATCATGTGGACACTAAGCATGTGAATATAACAAAACTACCAAGTACTGGCACCTATTTTCCAGTGATGTATAATAAATACTACAATAATCTCATCTCTGAGAATTCGTGTGCTCTGTTTCTTTTCTTATTTAAGTACAAAGGACAATGATCAGAATGTTGAGGAAAGGTGTATATTATATGTATGGAAAATCAGAGTCAAGAAATAATGCTTTGTTAATTCTGAATTTGTTCCTAAAAATTAGTGATACAACTTACAACACATCTTAAAGGGTGAAGTAAACTTTATAAATAAAAAGCCATAACGTGGGCTTTGTGGGCCACATACAGCCTCTGTGACTTATTTTTTTTCCTTCTTTAAATCAATTTAAAAACCAACTTGGGAGGCTAAGGCAGGAGGATCGTGAATTTGTGGCTGGCCTAGACCAAGTAAAAAACTTGCTTAGGATAGACTGTGGGCAAGTTTGCTGACCTTGGTCTGAAAGTATGCGTTTATTTTGCTCAATAACAAAATACATCAATTTGAACACTGAACCTTTCATAAGAAATTGAAAAAAATTAAATTAGATTATGTTAAAACTGGTATCCTTTTCAGGAAAAAGTCTCATGAAAAGGAATTTCTTTAAAAAACTATTACTACTGCTGTGCAGATACATTTCAGGTACTGGAATCTAATTATATTTCTAAGTTCTACACAGTATACAAAGGTATATGATATCTGTATAATGCTTTCTAGTTTACCAAAGGCACTTTCAGACTTCATGTTTCTGAAGCAACTTAAGTTAAAATATTATATTCCCATTTTAAAGTGGATGAAACTGAAGCTAAAGACCCACAGTTAGCACCTGGAGGGCTTCTGCCACTACAGCACATTTATGCTCATTAAAATAGGCATAAACATAAGCTACAGTTAGGAAACCACAGCAGCAGGTTAGCAGGTTTAAATTATATTCTTTGGGCTCCCCTCTCACAACTTATAGAATGAAAGCTTTTGATAACTCTTTCTATGTTGTTTTGCCTGTTAAATCTTTGCTCAACTGTAAGAAACTGAATTGTCCCAAGGTATCAAAAACCCCAGCACACTTGTTTAACTGTTTTTTAGTATATGTAGTAATAACTACTACAATAAAACTACTACTACTGTAAATGATGGCAGCCAAAAAAAATTAAAAGAAAAAACAAAAAAAGACAAATGATGGCAGCAAATATTTTTGAATGCTTGTCATTTCTCAGGCAGTTTAAGTCCTTCATCTATATTTAAATATTTTATTTTTTCAGTACTGGGGTTTGAACTGAGAGCCCAAGTGCTCTACCACACCCTTAGCCTTACATTTATACATTTAATCTTCATGAGTATGAAGCAAGTAAGTCACTATTACTATACCCATTTTATTTATGAGGAAAATGAGGCACAACACTTTCCCAATACTCCGCAATAGTGAGTTGCCCAACTTCAATTCAAATGGAAACGGTCTGGCTTCAGAATCTAGGCTTTTAACAGCCACACTATGTTGCCTCTTTTGCAAAACATGTATTTTCAAACATTTATTTTCCCTGGAATATGACTACATTGATAGCAATAAGGCCACCAGAACTAATTTTATTATAAGGTTTGGAAAACAGAAAATATAATGTATATAGACTTGTAGATTTAGTAAGTTTCTTCACAGAAGTTGATTGCTATGTGGTCATTAATTCAAATATCAGAACTTCGAAGGCTTCTGAAATGAAATATCTGGGGTATAATATCTCATGAAATAACGACGTTAAATGCCTTTAGAAATGCCCTTATATAAGATTTTTTACTTTGGCATGCATGTCAATCTTTTTACAGGTTAGTATTTCTGATATCTGACCTGCTTGAGAAGCTGCCTGCATTGCACTGGGCAATGCATTCGGTAGCAAACCTCCTGAGGGTAGAAGGCCACTCAGGTTTATTCCTGTAGGAGTTATGGCACCAGTGTTACAGCCCAGCATGGGGTTTGAACCACTCATCAAAGCCTGTGCCCCACTGCAGAGGAATGAGACAAAGCATTAAACTTGTACTGTAAAAGGAAAAAGCAGCAACAAAATTCCTCACATTAAAAAACAAATTCAGTTATTTCTACATCTTAAAAATCAATTTCTAGGCTCAGTTTCATTTTAATGCCTGAAAGTGGTATGGTTGGCTAAAATTAAGTAATGAGTACATATGAATGTTTTTAAAAAAAATTTAGGAAAGCACTAACCGTGAGATTAAAAGATGGTAACAATGAGGATACACAGAAAAATCTCAGCTGCTGTCAACATAAAGTATCTTAGTGTAGGCCAGAGATGCATTACTAAAATTAAAACATACACGTGAAGACTCATCTGTGCATATCTAAATCACTGTCTCTCAGTTTGAATAATTCACAATTTGTTCTCACAAATGACTACCTTAAAAAAATAAAATCAGGATATCAATGGAAACTTACCAAACAGAGCTCACTACATTGATGAAGTTAAGTCCAGCAGAGTTTGCCATGACCTGGGTGGCTGTGGTTCCTGTAGTTATAGATGTTACCATGGTGGAAAGAGGAATGGTCGTTACAGGCATTGCCTGGCTCAGAGACCTTTGCTGCTGAGCAAACTGAGTTAACAAAGTGGGCTGAGGGGTGAAGCCTGAATCTTGGGGAGTAGGGGTAGCTGAAGGGGTACTAGGAGTTGAGCTCTGAGCATCAGGAGGGTGTGGGGTCGATGAAGGGGTTGGTGTAGGAGTAGATGGCTTAGGAGTTCCAGATCCTGCTCATTGAGAAAAATAAAAATTGCTAGTTTGTTATAAATGGCCAGTCCTTTTTAAAATAAGGTTAATGGAATCTTACTTAGCACTGACAATTTGTTCCAGTTTTTTTTTTAAAGCAGTTAACTGCAAGTGTTAATTTACACATGATACATGAGTGCTGCTACACTCAATTACAATTAAGGATGCAGTATATCAGCTAAAACTCCCATCAGAGATGCTATTACAGTAACAGCAAAAATATACATTTATATTCTACCACAAGACCCACTTAAAAGTTAGTTTCCTACATGCTGCCTTTAGCCTAAAAAGTTCAACAGGAGTTCAAAGTAATTTCACTATTTACGATTTCACTAGTTATATGACTTCTTTAAAAATACTGGTTATTTAGTGTCTCTGCAATAAACTGTGAACATATTTAAATAAGTTACATATGGTTAATATTTGGCACATACATATACATGTTTAATTCCTAACACATCAAGTTTATCCTGATAAATTTACAAACAGTAATAAAGCAATTATTTGATAGATAATACTGCATCTTTAACAGTAACTGCGTACTTCTGTTTAAATGTAGAATGTATAGAATAATCTGTTGTGAATGAAGTATGCACAGTTTATCAAATTTTTTAAAAAAACAAAAACAAAAAATAAAAACCAAAAAAGTAAAACCAAAAGCTCTTGAGGTGTTTTCTTTTTTAGCTTTCATGTCCTGCAGAAAGAAAGGAAAGAAATGTGAATGTCCAGAAGCTGTCACTCAACCCTTACTTAAAGTAACAACTGTGTGCAGTAGATTACCATAATCCATACCCACAACATAAGAAGTGTGAATAAGACTTTCAGAAAATTTATATTTTTCTTTGTGCAAAACAAGAAGGCAGAAAAATTACACCTTTTGAGCTATCAAGATGAGTATGTTTATACCTAATGAGAAGACCATCCTATCACTGTGCAGTGTACTAAAATTTTCAGCACACATTAGTTACCTATAAAAAAATCTAAAAAACTGGAATTTTTTTTCCCAAATTGGTACTTAAAATATTCAGATAATTTGAAGAAATTCTCCCAAACTAAATCTATCATTCTTTATAGAACTTCTTGATGTTAAAAAAAGTAACCAGTAATGAAAATTACATTTTATTATCTTCAGAATAATACTTCATGATCAACACATTTTAGTAACTGACAACAAGTTATAAAAGAGTGTAGGAGTGTTTTTAAAAAATGGTTTTCAGTTTATTGTATCACCACCACCTTGGAACTAATTGGCTTCTTACATATACAAAGATAGAATCTGTAGCAACAACTCTTATGACATTTTTTTCATACTAGCCACATAGTTTACATAAAGTGTAAAATGATCCTGGAGTACACTGAAATAAATATTTTGCAATCTTATTGCCACATGTAACTATGAGATTATTTTATCAGGAGATATGTAGGTTGCAAGTCTAAAAGAAAGGTATACACAGAGTGCATACATAAGATACAGAAAAACACACAATTACAATAAACACATAATACATACAATCAACAAGAATTCTACTTGAAGCTTCTTGCAGCTTCTACACTTTGGGTACACAGTACACTCATATTTTACTATTCACAGGTTGAGAAAAGCTGTCTTAAGCAAAAGTTTATGAAAACTTTAATGAAGAATTTAAGTTATAACTCACTTTGTGATGAGCTGGCAGGTGACAGGGCAGCTGGAGAAAGCATGCTAACTTGGCTGAGATCAACAGATGACTTTCGAGAAAGACTTGCTGGTTTAGAAGGAGGAGGAGGAGTCGGAGATTTAAGAAAGCTGCTGGCCTGCTGTGGTGTAAAATAGTTACCTAGAAGAAGAGTATAAAAGTTACTTCCTGAACTCATAATTCAAGATTATGTGAATTATAGACATAAAATGAATAAAGTTTGAAAAGAAGAGATTATGACTTGTAGCATTTCTTACTCTGTATTATTGAAAATTAAGGATTTTAGTACCTGAGGAACTATTTCCTGAGCTTGAGGGAAGTTTGATGGGTGGAGGTCGATGTTTTATCCCCTTCCCCAATACTGAAGACTGAACTGACACAGTCTCAGGCTGCTAACAGAGTAACATAAGGTGAAAGTTAAAATTAATATCACCATAACTCCTACATGAAAACAATTTATGACTGCAAAGTACTCTAAGTAGACTGAACTTCATAAATATTACAAAAGAACATTTCACAAGACCCATTAAATAGATAGTAACATACATAAAGGATGAGAGAAAGAATTCTGAGAATTAGGGTAGGGAGAAAAGGTCTGAGGGAGAAGGGCAGAAGACCATGAAGGCAAAGCTTCCATCCTGCTCTACCTATCTGTTCCAGGAAAATAACAACTGTTGAAGTCAGATGGTTAGCACACAGGTATTTATTATACTTATCGTGATGTACTTTTGGAATTTTCCATCATAAAAACATAAATAATAAAAGTTTAAAGAAAACAATCCCCCATCCCTCAAAACATGATCAACATCTCTCAGATTTCTTTGAGAAACAATTAGGTACAAAAAAGTAACAATAATGAAACATACTTCTGTTTCTTTCCCTGGAGAAAGTTGACTTAGACTAGCTGAGCCACTAGAGCTATGTGACATCTTGACTGGACATTTAGCTTCATTCTGGACCAATTCTTGGTACTGATTAATTACCCTAGAATTATTAGGAGAAAACACATAAGGATTGGTTAACCTTACTTATTTATATGATAATGGAATTTGAACTCAGGGATTCTACCACTTGTGCTAACCCCTAGCCCCTAACCTTATTTTAAAGACAAATTTACTATAGAAGATTTTAAAAATAATATCTAAGAGTAATGCTGTTATTGAAAGAATGTTCCACCAAATAACACAAAAATTAAAATTAGGCAATCTATCTAGTGTTGAAAGTACATTCTTGCTGGGCATAGGGACACAGGCCTATAATCTTAGCACTCAGGAGGCTAAGGCTATATAATAGCCAAGGCTTGCCTCAAATGTGCATTCTTCTAATCTAATGATAAGCTAAGGTTTTAAAACTTTTGCTAATTCTACTAAATATATCTAAAAATATATTTGCAATGTCTTATTTCTAATACAGAAATCACAGGACTCCATTTCTCCTGGACTTCCCTTAGATTTGGACTGAAGTATGACCTTGAATCATCTTCCTTAAATAGATGTCTAAGTTTTCTTATTTAAAACAAAATTGCATTTTAAATGTTATCACACCTTTACCTGGAATCAACAGGATTTTAAAATTGGAAAGGGCCTTAGAGATTTTATTGTTCAATGATCTAATTTTGAAACTGAGGCCTAAAATATTAAATGTTCAAGCAGTTAACTGCATAACTAAAATCAAAGTTTATGATTCCTAATACAGTATCCTCTATCCTATAAAGGTGCACAGCTTTTCATATTCATCACAACAAAAAATAAAGATGCAAGTATTTTTTACCTCTCAGCATCAGTCTTTGACCCAATAATGAACCTAAAACGTTAGAGAGAGAAAGAGAGAGAGAGAAAAAAAAACAAAGAACCCTGGGATTACTTTTGAAGTACCTTGTATTTTAGTACAGTAATATTATAAATTCACTTTAAATCTACCAAAGTACCATTAAACGTTAAAAAAAATTTTAAACTTATGAAGCAATTATAGCTTTGTATGCATTATAAAACAATCATGTAAAGAAGGAATTCAAATGGCCAAAAAACACATGAAAACATGTTCACCATCTCTGGCCATAAAGGAAATGCAAATCAAAATCACACTAAGATTCTACCTCACCCCTGTTAGAATAGCCATCATCAAAAACACCACGAACAACAGGTATTGGCAAGGATGTGGGGAAAAAGGAACCCACATATACCGCTGGTGGGAATGCAAGCTAGTACAACCACTCTGGAAAACAATATGGAGGCTTTTTAAAAATCTAAACATAGATCTGCCATATGATCCAGCAATTCCACTCCTGGGGATATACTCAAAGGAATATGACACAGGTTACTCCAAAGGCATTTGCACACCCATGTTTATTGCAGCGCTATTCAAAATAGCCAAGTTATGGAAATAGCCAAGATGCCCTGCTACTGACAAATAGATTAAGAAAATGTGGTATTTATACACAATGGAGTTTTAATCAGCCATGAAGAATAATGAAATCTTACCATTCTCAAGTAAATGGATAGAACTGGAGAACATCATTCTGAGCGAGGTTAGCCAGGCTCAGAAGACCAAAAATTGTATGTTCTCCCTCATATGCAGACTTTACATCTAGGGCAAATGCAGCAATGTTGTTGGACTTGGGTCACACACTAAGAGGAGAGCACATATGGGAGGAATGGGGATAGGCAGGAAACCCAAAACTTGGAAGTGTTTGATGTCTCCACTGCAGAGGAGCTAATACAGTAACCTTAAAGTGACACAGGTCAATATGGGAAGGTGACCATGAAGTAGTGAAGAGGTTAGGCAGAGATGAAATCAATTCGGGTTGTAATACACTTGTGCATGGAAGCAATGCTAGGAATCTCTCTGTATAGCTATCCTTATCTCAACTAGCAAAGACACTATGTCTTTCTTATTATTGCTTATGTCTTCTCTTCAATAAAATTGGAGAAAAGGGCAGAACAGGTTCTGCCTGGAAGCAAAGTGGGTTATGGGGAGGAGAGGGCAGGGGGCAAGGGAGAGAAATGACCCAACAATGTATACACATATGAATAAATGAATTTAAAAAATCATGTGATTAGTTAGGCTGATTGAACTTAGGGGAAAACTGATTTTGCCTTAAGATGTATTAAAACATAATAGACTACAAATGACCAAGTACTATATACTTTTAAAATGTCTACCCTATAACTAAATCACTGAATTACTGTGTGTAAGACCTTTTGGCCTTCCATTCATTTTAATCTTTGACTCTGTATACATAACAGGATTGCAGAATACCTATTACACAAGGAATATAGCTTACTGCCAATTCAAGCAAAGTATCTTTACCAAGTCTTTTAAAAAAAAGTTTGACATGATTTCTTAACAGCTTAAAACAGTGAGTTTAATTACCAATTTGAATGATCATCTGTGGAGGAGCTGAAATATAAAATGTAAAAGAAATAAACACTGTTAGTGTAGCTCAAACTTCACTTTCACAGTTACTAAAGTAATTTATGAATATGCAAGAATGATTGGAGGATAGTTATGTGTGTTTTTGCATCAACTCCCCAAATGTGATAGTAAAAATTCAATTCTCTTCCTGTCAAACATAGTAGTCAATTGGTTATTTGGAACTATTCTAGAAAACTTAGTAAGTTTTAAATGACCAATGCCTTCAAATGAAGATTTTTTAATATCACTAATATGAAATACAGATATTTAATATTAAATATTAAATTTAAACATTTAAACAAATATAATACTTAACAAAACTGAAATATTAAAGATAGGTAATGCTTACTATATAGGTAATCAAAATATCTGATCTTTAAACTGTTAGGTAAGAAGTCTCTGTTACTGCTTCTTGTAGTACTGGTGAGGTCACTCTTTAAAATCCACCTTTCCTACTCTAATTGTAATTAGTATTTTGTATAAAGGTTTACAAACAATTTGATGCAGACCTCACTCCTACTTTTTTTCTGCTGAGCCCCTCTTTATTTTTCTTCTTTTCAAAAACAGTATCAAGGTGATTTTAAAAAGTAAAACAGTAAAACCACAACTAAATAGTAGAAACCATCTACTAAATATGTGTAATACATACATTTTGTAAGATCAACTATATAAACTGTCAACACATAAACATATGAAGAATAATATGCCTGGAATATCCTTCATAAAAATAACTGTAGCCTAGGACTTTTTAAAAAAAGAAATCAATTTTAATAACTTAGACAAAATTATAACTACAATGTAAGGCTACTCATATCCACTGTCAAATCTACTTGGCATAATTAACAAACAAGTGAATCCCCAAAGGGAAATTTTTATTATAGTTCATTGGTAGTTGTTAAATGACTTGTGGATGCCTGATTTTGTTCATTATGTATATTTAACAGAACTCACTGGGATGGAGACATCTGGCTGTCATTTTCTTCATCTGCTTTATATGGCTGTATTTTACCATAGTAAAGTGGATCACCAAGTGATTGCATGATGGTCAGCTTTGTTTTTTGATACTGATTACCAGCTTCACATTCAAATACATAATCATCTTTTACATCCTAAAAAAGACAAGAGTATCCCACATAATATATTCTCAACTAAGCAATCAGAATTAGCAAACACCAGGAAAAAACAACACACTAAACTTGTATCTGGCACTAGGAATACACATACACACTGTACTTAAAACTACAGAAATGCACTGACTTTGGAAGTAATATAGAATAGATACAGTGTACAGAGGGGTACTTGTGGAAGAGGGGACAGTGAATGGAGGAGATGAAGATAAGAGAATATGGTTGATGTGTGTCATATAAATATATAAAATAAAAGGATGAAACCTCTTTATAATTGCTGTAAGTGGGGCAGGGAGGGGTTAGCGGGAGTAAGGGATTGTGGGGACGATCTAACCAATGTATAGTATAAAACTATTTGGATTGTCACAATGAATCACCCCTGTATAATGAATATATTCTAGTAAAAATAGAAAAATATAATTTAGACATTAAAAAAAGACTGCCTAAAAATAAAGCTCAAGATGGTTCTTCTGAAGTGAAGCATTAGCATATAGTATCAAGTATGCACATATAATGTAATGACACTAATAAGTGATTAAAAGCATTATTATACATATATATATAAAATGAAAATCATAAGGAACATTTATTAATCACTGTTTTCAGTACTTTACAAGTAGTACCTCATGTACTCTTTACCACATTCCTGTGGTCCACACTATTATTTCCACAATAGGGAACTAAGCAGAGAGACTAAGTGATTTGCCTAGAATCCTCCAGCCTATAACCCAAACCCTTATGCTGCTCTGCCCCTCTATGCTTGGCAGGGCTGTATAGGATTCCTTTTTCATGGTACTTTGGGAATGAGAGGTCCACTGGAGTACTTCATTAAGCTTAAGAGAATACATAGCAGAATTTCATATACTGGACATATACATTGAAAATATTAGACAATTTTAGGAAGATAAAACTTTTGAAAGCTGATATGCATTTGTCATTGTCATACATACAAAATACCACATGTACAAAGCATCTCATTATTTTGTCTAAGGTTCATCTAATTTAATATATTATGCTAATTTCTTCCTTTAAGAAGTTACTGTTGCACTGAGAAAATTAGAACACTTCCATTGAGACATCAGAATATGCTAGTATGAGAATGACCAATATACAACCAAAAGTAAAACGTGCAATTCTTTTTTGCTTTTATTTCGACACAGGGTTTCCTTTTGTAGCCTGGAACTCATGATTCTCCTGCCTCAGCCTCCAGAGCACTAAGATAATAGGTTGAACCTATAATTTAGTTCTGCATTAAAATTGTTCTTTAAAACAGAAATCGTACTTTATAAAAGACAAAATAATTACTCCTTCTCACAATTTACTGAACTTGTTAATGTTCTTAAAAAGAACTAGAAATGGAGATAGGAAAGATTACTTACATGGGCTGGCCAAACTGTTGGTTGTGAATCATCAGGTTTGATAGACTTTTCCACTTTAGCATATTTCTCTACCTACATGATCAAATCAAGACACCAGATAAAATGTAATCAGTATTCTGACCACAGATCAGAACCTAACTCAAGAATACAACATAGTTGCTAACACAAGAATTTTTGAGTCACTAATATTACAACTTCTTATGCTTAAGTAGTTTAACATTCTTTTACACTCGCCTGAAATGTTCAATTAAGACAACTTCAATAATAAAATAAAATTAGAATCTCTTTGGCCTCTTTTTTATTCCATAAGCTGGTATCACATCTGTTCTTTACAGTCTTTCCTTTAGGAAATCTGGGATGTCAGAGATAAGGATCAGATTTTTCTTTTTTTCCCAAAGTCTTACTACGTAGCCCAAGCTCAAACTCTGGATCCTCCTGCCTCTTCCTCCTATGCACATATGTTACCACATCTGCTTGGCAGGGTTTTAATTAATAGAGTTATCATTTATTAGTGGTAACAGAGTTAGAAAGAGACTATGTTCTTGAAGCCTGGATTCGATCCCCTGTATCAAAAATAAAATAAATGAAATTAAATTAAAAAACAAGAGTGTTTTAGACTCACATGGACACTTGTTGAATATATAAGATTTTTTCATGTCACTCCCATGGAAACAAAAGTAAGTTCATCTGAGTAAGAGCCTCAAACCTGTATGTTTACGCTGATATACAATGTGATTCTTCAGAGTGAACTAGACTGAGAAAATTTGAGACTAGAGACTCGCTACTTAAAGTGTTGTCGGTCCATGGGCCCCAGAACCACATTAGCTACAAGCTCGTGAGAATGGCAGCATCTCAGCCCCAGCCCAGACTTGTTTAATGGGAATCTACAAATGAACAAGCTCTCCAGGTGATCTGTTCATACATTAATGTTTGGGAAACACTGCTTTAGAGATCCACCCTGCCCTCCAAAGATAAATTTTACCGTAACATCTATTCCTAGGTTATGTTCCCTAAGGAGCACGTAAGCTACAAAAAGATAATGTGGCTTACTTATTTGAGTTGTATACAGTCTATTCATGCTTTTGGCTTTGTACTTTAATTTTTGCTTAAATCATGATAAAAATAGCACATGTGCTATCCAACCAAGAATGCAAAAAAGGAATGCATGAAAATAACTAAATTATTATAAAGAACTGGATGAATAAAAAAGAACACAAGAGAAAGAAACAGGAAAATAAGGAATCACTCATTAAAATATCTTCTACTTTAATAATTTATAATTCATGAGTATTATGGATCAATAAAGAATACTGCCTAGGACTGGGGGCATGGCTCAAGTGGTAGAGTGCACACCTAGCAAGCTTGAGGCCCTGAGTTCAAATCCCACTACCACCCCTGCCCTCCCCCAAAAGAATACTGCCTACGGTTCTTAATTATGGCAATTATTCCAATATTATTAATCCTTAAATTTAGTCAATTCGATGAAAGAAACATTATAAAGAAGTTGTGAAGAAATACTACGGAAAAAACTAAGCAGCATTCATGTGTGTTATGTGATCTATACCATATTTTTCTACATTTTGAAATTATTTTATTATTCCTGCTCTACACAGAACTGTAAGTGTTATGGTCTTATAAAGCTTAAGAGAAGAATGAACAAGTACTTAAAATGAGCAGTTGATTGTTTTTAAAAAAAATCAGTTTGCTTTTAAGAGACGATTCTTTTTTTTCTTCTCAAGGTATTAGCTACCTAATGATAAAATTTAGAAAGTGTTTATGAAAAAAATTTTGTTAAACTGACTTACATCCACTTCAGAAGGTATGGCCAAATTACAGGGACTCCGTTTCCACATATCTACACACTGAAAAATCAGAAATAGTGTAATTACAACAAAGATTCAAAATAAGACAAGCCTCACTTTGCCTTATTAACTCCGTGTAAAAAACACATACTTACATTTCCTGCTTTAGAAATTTTCAGGTCATAATGCTGACCTGCTTTTCTTTCCTTTCTTTTTTGTAAGAAATCAAGTAATTTCAGCTGAGGAGGAGGGGGACAATGGGACAGATCCTGCTGCCGGTTCAGAGAGGACCTGGAATACCTCTTGAAACACCTGAAATATTAAGAGATCTGAACTTAAAAAGCTATCAAGATTCATAACACGTATGGGTTTAAACTAATAAGCATTAAAGATGTAATTAAATTACATGACAAGCAATGTCATCAGCACTGGTGAAATAAAAATGAACATGACAAAGTCCCCATTACCATGAAGCTGAGTCCAGAGGGGAAGAGAATCATTCACAAGTAAACAGAGTTGAGATAATGCTAAGCACTAAAAAAGACAACAACCAACCCCCACCCACCAAAAAAAAAAAAAAAGCACTGTGATAAGTGATAGGGAGAACTACAGTAGGCAAGGGATGAATGACAGAAAGGAACTATCTATGGAAAGTTGAGGGTCAGGAGGTTTGTTTCTGTCTAGGCAGGTAAGAAGCTAGGAATCACCAGGACATCTTAACAAGTAAAAAGCTCAACAAACTGAAAAATCAACAATTGTTCTGTGATTCATAAAAGTGACATCACAGGGAAAACCACTGGCCCTATACTTGAAGAGAAAAAGAAAATGCAGGGCATCATGGCTTCTTAAGTGCTGAGGCATGGAAACTAGAAGTATAACTATGGATTAGGTGGAGATGAAAAACTCTGGTGAATCCAGTCATTGGGAGCCCCCACACTTTTGGGAGTGTCACCTGTGAGGGTCATGCTTCCACAAAGAAAGGTGAAGAGACACTATCAAAGATCAGGGAAGCTGGAGTGGTGGTGCACACCTATAATCCCAGCACTTGGGAAGGTGAGGCAGGAGGATCAAGAGTTCAAGGCCAGCCTGGGCAACATAGTAAGTTCAAGGCATCTGGGGCTACATCGGGAGACCTTGTCTTAAAAAAAAATTTTTTAAATAAATAAATAAATAATTACAAATTGTTTCCTTAAAAGTACAATTAACAAAAATTAAGCTGGTTACTGGATATCAAGAAGTAAAATGAAATTATTTCTTCTATTCATACTTGGTCTCTTAGTTTCTCTACATTTTTGCTGAGGAGACTACAAACTTACAGGAAACTAGTTCTTTAAAAGATTACAGAAAATACATCACTTCACTATAATGCAGAAACTAAAACATAATACAGGGCCATTAAAAATCTTATTTTCAAATAAAAAAAATCAAAGCACTTAGACTAGAGAGAATAAATACTATAAACAGCAAAATTTAGAGGTATTTATCACAGAAGTATCGGCAATTACCGTTTCATTGGGCGAGTATTCATCTTCTGCCTATTATAGAGCAGTCTGTTTGCAGTGCAGGCTACTGCTATAGAAGGATCAAGACACAGTGGTTCAGCTGTAGCTAGAATCAGTTGGCTCTCCAGCAAAAGTTTGTCTTCCTGAAATGTACAATAGCATTATATCCATACCAGACTTAGGATTTTCAAAAAAGTAGCCATACATATCACTTAATGTAGAAATATTCCCTGGAACTCTGCTAAAGTCTATAGTAAAACTCAAGTTTCTAACATGAAATTTGACACATATAAGAAAATTCTAATGGAAATTCAATAATTTGTACATCGTATGAAATGGTCAACTTGTAAGAGTGCACATCCATCACTTATTCAAATATTTAAAGACCTATTATGTGTTATGCTAGGAGATAAAGCAGTGAACCAAACATACAGTCCTCTATTCGGACAAAACTTAGTGTCCTATGGATCACAGCTCTTTCAGTTAAATGAAAGGTCCCATTATATACTCAGGTTAACTACATTATAAAAGATACGGCTATCTAATACTATACTATGCAAATACTACATAACTATATTCGAAGTATATTCAGGATTTTTATTGGTATCATGTAAGTTACTTTACTGACTCCTATCCTTTTGCTTAACCCCCGAAATATTTTAATAGCTGTAAATTTTTTTTTTAAATAGTGCTGCAAAAGGAGCCTAGGACAATTTTTAAAAAGTGAGTCAATTAACTGCTGTGTAAGAATTTTTGCAAAAACAAAAAGAAATACTGCTTCTTTCAACAGATTTGTTCAACTTTTTATCATGGAAACTTTCAAACACTCAAAAATAGAAATGTGATGACACCTATACAACAACACCCAATTTCATTTAATGTCAATCTCTACAACTTATTTGTGCTTATTTTGCTGGAGCAATTTAAAATGTATCTTAAGATATTCTGCTATTACACTTGGCAAAACTTTAGCATGAGCTATTAATAAGGACCTCTAATAGACTTAAATTTCCCCCACTGTCCACACAATGTATTTGCAGTTGGTTTGAATTTGAACTCACAAAAGGCCTACCCACATTGTATATGGTTTTCTACCTCCTAAGCAAATTTTCAATTCTGTAATGATCATTTTTTCCCTACTTTAACTGAATTACTTAATTGGATCGGCTGGTTACTTCCTTATTGAGTCACTTAAATTGCTTTTATTCCCTGAAGTCCCCATAAATTTCTAGTTAAATCTAAAGGCTTCATTTAACCTAGGCTCTACTTTCTACACTGATACTATTCAGTACTCGTGCACTGCACCAGGGGGCACACAGTGATCCAATGCTCACTTTCAGTGAGAGAAATTTTCATCACTGGTCTTCTTTGATTTGGTAATTTATTCCTTTCTACAGTAGTAGAGAAGTAAGTCAACTCTTGTAAGTAAGCACCTCATATATGTTGTTGAGCCAGAACTAGAGGGTTAATTGCCTATTATCAGGGGTAACAAAAGTCCACTAGTGCCAAAGCAACCAATATAAATAGCATTAAATAAATAGAGAACCCAACAGGTTAGGTCTGCTTTAGAATCTTGGATGACAGAATGTCAATATCTATTTGAATCTCTGGTAAAAAGAAAAAAATATACATATATAGTATTTTTCTTTCATTTGAAAGGAGAAAAAGAACTAAGTTTCTCATTAGGCATAGCCAGTCAGCCTAACCCTAAGCATAGCTGTAAACAACTGGGATTTTTACTGTTACAGTTTCTTCAGGGATTACTGCCCATATAGAGAGATCTTTAACATCTAAAGCTCATAAAGGAATCTCAGTTTTTCACAGAAAGTGTCAACAAACTTAATACATGAAATATTAACACATGAAAGCATGCACAGAAAATAGCAGTTGCTTATTATTTCATACTACATACTAACCTGGGTCCATTTATGGTTATCACTTGTTATTGAGTGAACATCACAGATTAAAGTCTACAATAAAATTTTAAAAGTTAATGCATGTACACAAATACATGAAGATATTTAATAAAAATCCCACTAAAATAAAACATTCCATACCTGCATTGTTGGACGTAGGAGAATGTGCCTACTCTGGTAACCTGGAGATTTCATGTTACTGGATTGCCTATAGTCACGTATTTCTGCTATGACACATCCACAATGAAAAATATTAACCTGTTTTAAGTAAAAACATTCAGGTGAAGGTCATTTTCAAAAGCCTAAGTAAGCTGGTCTATATGGAATGTCTCACACATTTTACACTCCTGTGTAGTACTTCTGGCCATTCACATACTCTTCCATAGATTTCCTTGGTGGATATACCACCAGATATCTTTTAAAGGAATTATTTCACATTCATCAAGATGAATCAAAAAGCAACTTAAAACTGTTTAACAGTTTCTAGTTATAGACTAACTTTGGTATCTATCATCAATAGATTGACTTTTGGCATCTACATACTAAGTAAAATTACAGATCTTTGGGACTGTGGTTCTTCTGAAGTTCACTGGCTCATTGTTATGGTATACTTTGCCCTTGTTATAAACTGCCAATCAACCCTGCCAGAATTCCATTCTAGATATCACTTCTACATTTGTTGTGCTAAAATTTCCAGAAATAAAATCTTAACCTTTATTAATAAGAGGAGGAAAGCTAACTATACATTCAAATAAAAAAAACACAGCTTTCTACACCACTGTCACTCAAGTTTGCTATCTACGATTTGCCATGGTCGAATTTACATTATCATGTGCTTCGGCCATTCACAACTTTTAGATTATAACATCCACATTATATATCAATCATATTTATGTTCTTTTTTTGGCAGGACTGGGGTTTGAACTCAAGGCTTTGCACTTGCTAGGCAGAGCTGTACCCACTTGAGCCATTTTGGTCTGGTTATTTTGGAGATGGGGGTCTTGCTAAGTATTTGCCTGGGCTGGCCTCTAATTGTGATTCTCCTGACCTCAGCCTCCTGAGTAGCTAGTAAGCCACTGGCACCCAGCTTATATTATTCTTTTTAACAAACATTTACTGTGTAATATCATGTATACTTGGCAACAGGCAGTACCTAAGATGCTTCATAGTTACATTTTCCTCCTATGTGGAAAAACAGGCAATAAACAATACAATTTTAGATAGTGATGAATGCTTTAGATAGTGATAAGAGAGAGGGCTAATTTAGATTGCATGCTCAAATAAAAACCTCTCTGAAGAAGTAACAGCTTCAGGTGAGACCTTAATCACAAGAATCTGGGACAGATCATTCCAGATAAAACAAATAACAGACAAATACTTCTTATGTTATGATTCAGCTTGGTGTGTTTTAGAATAGGGAAATGGCAAAGGTGGCTGGAGTGTAGTGAGTAAGAATGGACGAGAATTAGGAAATGAAGATAAACCACGAAGGCAGAGGCTTTGTCTAGGTAAAAGGACACAGGAAAATTTTAAGTAGGGATATTTACTTTTTTTCTATTTTTGTTTTGTAAACAATATGTCTGTCTGACTCTAGAACAAAAACAGGGATTTTAGCTGGGTAGTTACAAAGGTGGAGCTATATTCACTGATGAACTGAATGTGGAAGATGAGGGGAGGGTCATCCATCAGATTGTAGACAGTGGTGATAAAATTAGGAAGTAAAAAAGTTGTTTTTACCATGTTAAGTTTGGGAGACTTACTGTATATCTAAGTAAATATGCAAATTTAGAGGATGGTGGGATGGTCAACAGTGAGAGATATAAACAAGGGAGTAAGTAACATTTTAAATGAAACTAGTCGAGATCATCCACAGAGAGCATTCCTAAAGAACAGAAAGCCTAGGACTAAACTCTGAAACATGCATACATTTTTTGAATGGAACATAGATGGCAGCAAAGAAAATTAAAGGAATAGAGAAGAGGAAAATTAGGAATGTGATGTCTCAGAAGCCAAAAGAAGAGCATTTTGAGGAGAAAGTAGTTATTTGCATTGAATTTTCTGAGACCAACTTAGATGTGAAAAGTGACTATTTGATTCCATGCCACAGATTCATTAGCAACTTTAACAAAAATGGTTTCTATAGAATCCTGATGCTATAATGCTGAATGAAGTCAGCAGAGGAAAAATGGGATGTGATAAAAAGATGATGATTATAGACAATTCATAATAGTTTTACTATCAAAAGGAGCAGAACTATAAGTCAACAGCTGGAAAAGGAAATGTGGCCAAGAGGATTTTTTTTTTTTTTTCATGAGTTGAAAGCACAGGGTGTTTGCATTTTGTTATCTAGTACAGAAGAAAAAAATAGGAGTACAGAAGAAAAAATAGAAGGGAGGGTAGTACAGAAGAAAAACCAAAAGGGTGGGAGGAGTACAGAAGAAAAACTCGAAGGGAGAAAGATTATAGTTCTAAGTCCTGGAGAAAGGGAAAATTCAGAAAACAAATAGGGAGGATATTTTAGGAACACTCATCCATTTTAACAGGAAGGCAAGTGTTGGGAACCAAAAGCCACAGTCTGACAAGGTCACTGTGGCTTAGCAGCATTCCGACAAGGTCGGAGTCTACAGGTACACCATGCTTCTATCATGGTGGGAAGGAATGCTAAATGGTTTCCCTTGACTGAAAAGAAGTTTATACTTAGTCAAGGACATTGGCAGTAAGAATGCAGGGTGGAAACACAGAAAGGTTGTAACGAGGTCAGAGTGTTTTTGATGTTTTAGTCTCTTCCTCTTTTGTATAAAGCTGGATAAGAAAAACAAAATTTTGCCAGCTGGTCATCATCCTGCTGGCCCTCTTGATATGTGTTTTGTCATTCCCTTCCTGAGTAAGTCCTTTTGTGTGTCCTGTCTTGTTCATTTCTACCCTGAGCCCTTCTGGGTCAAGGACCTCTGTGATCCTGGCAGGCAAGGATAAAGTATAGAGGAATGGACAAAGATGAATATGGCGGAGGTTAAAGTCAAGGCATCAAGGAAAAAGAAAGAAAAGTAAAGCAAGGGAGTGACTTTCAAAGCTGACTAAAAAAAAAGTACAGATGTAAGGGCCAGAGTCTGGCCCCCCCAAGTAAAAAAGCTTCATAAAGAATCAAAGCAGTTTCTTCAATAATCTTTTGTTTTAAAGACAGGGTCTTGTTACATAGTCCAAGCTGGCCTTGAACTTGATGTCCTCCAACCTCTACTTCCATAATACTGTGACTACAGGCATGAGCTGCCATGCCAAACTCTAATTCCTAATTTGATTGTAATTATGGGAGATTTCAACTGACGATCTAATTGTTCTAACAATTTTAAAAGAACTAAATTATCTATACACTTCAGTGTATTTGAGTACTATAAAAGAAACCATTTTTTAGATAATAATGCATAATGTGTCATTTTCATGCTCTAAACACTGATAAAGTATCATAGCCAGGCATGGTGGTGCATTCCTTGTAATCCAAATATTACAGAGACCATGGCAGGAGGATCATCAGTTTGAGGCTATGCTGGGCTATAAGTCAAGATCCTATCTCCACTCCTTCAAAAAAAAAAAAAAAAAGATTAAATATAATTTATCACAAAATACCAAATAGTAGTCATTTATTTATATTCACATAATATAGGCATACACACATATTAAGAGCATGATTATATATCATATATTACAAGTGTAAAGACTATTTATGCATGAATACATATTACAGATAGAGTCTTGCTATGTTGCCCAAGCTGGTCTCAAACTCCTATACTCAAGAGATTCTGGGTAGCTGGAACTATAGGCATGTACCAATGTGCTTGGCAGGACATTTTCAAGAGAAAAATTTGTACCTGAGATTTTTCTAGGAGATCAACCAAAATAGGAGGTAATTCTTCTGCATCTAGATATTCAAGCAATTCCCCTTCTTCATAAGGCAGTCGAATGGTCTCAGAATCTTAATTTTAAAACATAAAGTTTACAAAATTGATTAGGCAAACCAAAGGGCTCAAGTGTGTAATTCAAATGACTTTTAAAAAGATAAAAGCTAAATGGGCTCTCCTAATGTCCTTCTTTAAGTCTTATGAATGAATCACATTACATTTACTAATAGACTTCTAAGACTATTTACAGTTTAATGCTCTTTTCACATTAATAGAAATATTTTATTTTGATGTATGAGAATTACTCAAAAGCCAATGAATCTGCTTAATTTTGAAGGTTTCAGACTCAGCATACATTAAAAACAACAAATCTTAAAATTCCTTATGCTGTCTTTAAATACAAATAGCAATAACCCAGAGGAAAATTTGGCAATTATTTAAAAATCATGACTTTTATAAACTGACTTCAAAGATTAGAACACTTTCAAAATGTATGTTCAGGAAAGATAATCATACATAGTAGAACAGTTTCTAACATTCTAGCAAAAGTCATAAGGAGAAAAACAACAAAAAAATCTGTTTTTATCACTAAGTCATCACTGATCTGAAGAACAAACCATTAATCAGGTTAAGAAATTAGTTTTTAAAGTAGCACATCCCACTGTTAGCAGTTACTTTGTGAACTTGGGAATCTTACCTGATCCATTTTTTCCCCTGAGCATCAGAGAATATCCTTCATTTCCTGGGTACAGATTGACCACTAAACATGACAAAGTCTCTTGCATAACAAGCTTCTCTAACAAGTTCACATTTCTTCTTAATTTCTGCTTTAAAGAGAGGGAAAGCTCATGAAAACAACCCAGTATAACTTTGAAAAACAATGCAATAACTTAACAGAATCTATTGGTGATCCTTTCAAGTTACAATTCTAAATATATGGGGAAGCTGCATAATACAATAGTAACTGTACATGGAATAGAAATGTAAACAATTTTTATCTACTACTATGTTTAATGCATTAATTCACATCAAAAAGAAAACTGGAAATCTATAAAATAAAAATACTTAAATATAAAATAGGTGCTTCTAAGTACATTAAAGAGAAACAAAAATACTTTTAAAACCACAAACTGTAACTTTTAAAACCACAAACATATTATATATAAGGAATAGAACAATTTGGGGCATTTGCTTTAGTTGTTATGGTGACAAGTGCATGTTTTTCAGTATTTCAGAGTTCAAATTCAATCCAAGTATGTTCAATAACTCCAAAAACATCTAATTGGTAAGAGAAAGTAAGCAATTTAGAAAATTTTCTGTAAATTCAATTTAACAGCTCCTTAGGAACCATCTTAACTGTGTTTTAAAAAAATTCATCAGGAAATACAATGCACACACATCAAAATCCACAGGTTTAGAAATGCATATAATTTAAAAGGAAACCCACTTATATTCTTCATCTATCATCACCACAGAAAAACACTGCAATTTGAAAATGAAAAAGTAAGCAAACAACTTTTTTAACCACTTAAAAAAAAAAAAAAAAAAAGCCCAAAGCATACAAAAAAACTTGAGCTCACCATGGTGGCACAGGCTGTAATCCTGAGCACTTGGGTGACTGACACAGAAGAATCATGAACAACTTTGAGGCCAGTGTGAGCTATATAGTGAGATTCTGTCTCATAACAAAAACAAAAACAAAAAAATCCTAAAACTTTACAATTTGTCAGTGTAGGAAAAAAAAACCCTTCATAATTTGACTTAAATTCACTCCCACCGAGTTGATTCTAATTTCTTTCTTAAAAGGGCCAGACAGCATAAAATAGGGTTATATGCTCTGTGTTTTCAACTACTTAACTCTGCCTTTGTACCACAAAGGCAGGCACAGAAAAATATATAAACCAATGGGTACGGTGGGTTCCAATAAAAATTTATTTACAAAAATGTGCCTACTGGGCAATGTGGCTAATGGACAGTTTAGAAACTTTATGATAAATGTCTCCTATTTGAGTTGTATCTCTGCAATGATGGAAATGGACATGGTATGGACTATTGCAATGGTTTCATGGATATATACATATTTTATAATTAAAACTTTAAAAACTCTGTACTTTAAACATGTACAATTTATTATGTCAAGTATACCTCAATAAAACTCATGGAAAGCATGCTATACGACTTATTTATAAACTTATCACTTTTTCTCTAATGTTAAGATTTTAAAGGCTAGACACTACTGGAACTGCACTATTTTTTGTCTAAACAATAAAATGTTATTCATTTTAAAATTAACAATACCGAAGCTCAGAGAACACTTAGAGGACTTCTAACTTGAGGGTTCAGAAAATTTAGGCTGGGAGTGTGGCTCAAATGGTAGAGTACCTGCCCAGTGAGTACAAAACCCTGAGTTCAAACCCCCTTATAGCAAAACAAAAGAAAAAAAAAAATCACAAAGTCAACTTTTATTAATTTCTACTGCAGACACCTTTATGCTAAATAAAAATGAACTAGTTAAACTATCTTTGAGCTTATTTTGTGACCAAATTCACTTTTTATTACTATACTTGAATTTCCTACATGTCCTGTAGTAGCTTTGACTTTCCAGTCAAATCTCCATAAGGGAATGGGTTAACTGTTCTCTTATCTTAGGTTTAAAAATCACTTCTCAGGGGGAAGAATCAACAAAAGATTCATACTGTGGCTTTGCTTACAAATTTCCAAAGAGATATTCTATTACTCAGTAAACACTATTCCACCACTCCTCACTAGCAGATGAGTTTTACCTGGTATCAGTTAAGCCAGAGCTCTGGGTCAGCTGAAGAACTAACTACAGAATCTGATTGAAAAAGATGTTAGTTCATCTACAAAAATATAAATTAGGCACTTCAAATGAAACTCCTCCAAATTTCCGTCTTTCAGTATATTTCAAAAGCTGCAACACCATAAAAAAATTTATACTTACCTTAACCTCTGGTTCCTTTTCACATTCCTCAACATACAAGTCATACAGCTTTTGAAATACAGATTTTCTATTAAAGAAAAGGTAATAAATACATGAAATCTTAATATATAATCATGATGAAATGTTTTTGTTTTTTTGATAGAGGATCTCTCTATATGGCCCAAACTAGTCTTGAACCTGTGGTTCTGCCTCAGCTTCCTGACTGCTGGGATGGCAGGCCTGCACCACCACCCTACTTCCCCCAAAATTGGGAATGGAGTGGGGAGAGTCTGGATATGTTATTTAACATCATCTTAAGAATTTCTAATACAGGGCTGAACATCTCTATTTAAAATGTTTGGGACCAGAAGTGTTTTGGATTTCTTCAGAGTTGAGAATGTCTGCACGAACCTAATAGACAACTTTGGGATGAGAGCATAGCTTAGACACAAAAATCACTTGTTTCATATATTCTTATACAATTACTGAGGACAATTTTATACAATCTTTTTATTGTGCCTGCATTGTGACTATGACCTGTTACTTTAAGTCAGATATGAAATTTGCTACTTGTAAGGTTGTGTCAGATCTCACAAAGTTTCAGATGTTGGATTATTGCAGGTTTCCAGATTAGGGATGCTCAACCTGTATATGCAAAGAATCGATAACATTTCTAACCCAGTCCCTAGTAGGAATATAATAAATGGTGACTACCATATCTCAATGAATCTAAGATATTATCAATTAAGTATTCATACCTTCCACTAGATAGGTATTTCCTTTTAGGAGGTCTCTGTCGAGCACTTTCAATGATATACTAAAAAAGAAAAATTTATAAAAACAGCTTGCCTTTTGCTTTGTACATGAACAACTATTTAAGTTCATGTATTTAAGTTAAGTATACATAAAACATATACAAAGCTACTTAGTTAATCAAGTCTCTGACACATTAAATTATACCTTACAGGGAAAAATACTTAACTTCTAAACGTATCTTACTAATGAGTGAAGTGCATTAAGATTTTATGTTATTTCATTGCTGTGAACTATAATTTCACAGGACTGAAATACTCTCATTGCTTTACAGCTATTCAGAATGTTAACGTATTAAAAATTGTATACCTACTTGCAATGACTGTATTTTCCTTAGCTGTTTTAGAGAATTTGTCAAAACAGAAAAACACAGTTTCAGAAATTGTATGTCCTTTTTCAAATAATTTCTATTCCACAACATGAGAATTCCAAGTAAGGTCACTTGGTGTTCTTGTATATTTACAGCAAAATTACTTGGATGCTTACCCCAATATATAATTTAAAACTTCAAGAGTACTGCTGAATGAGCTTTGACACATCATCTGTACAACACCACAATCAAGATATAGAACATTTCTATCACTACAAAACGATCAATGTACTCCCTTGAAGATCACATACAAAAATCTTAGTTTTTGTCAATCACAGACAACACTATTTCAGTATGTAACTTAGTCGTGACTCACCTCTGCACGATCCAAAGCTAGTTCTAAAGCATGTTGCTGTAAAAAAATGGTGTTTTGTATTATTAGTTATTTTCATATTTAATAAACATTTAACATTCCCAACTAAGTGCTTAAATGTTTCATTTTCTGAAATGGGTCCAATGTGTTCTTTATTTCTCTTCTCCCCCGCACCATATGATCAAGGCATGTAACAAAGAAAAAAATATAGCACTTCTGGGAAAGACCATAACAAACTAGACAGAAAGAAAAGCTAAAATGGGGTCTCTGGTTAATACTTCTGAGGCTGCTTTGCTTTGTTCACTAGCTCCTTCAAATACTTAAGAGGAATATCATTAGATAATATAAATGCAAAATATATGGATTTCAGAATCCCACTGTGACAATTCCATTTTTCTCTAACAGGGCAGGGATAAGCAGGCAAGATCTCAAGAAAAAAAGGAAGATAAATGTTTCCTGAGAGTTGTGCTACATAACAGGGATTTATGAATAAGATATTCAACATAGTAGTCAATATTCATTTATTCAGTCAGATACTTTAAAACATTAAAAAATGTCCTCCCCAACCCCCAAAGTTTAATTTTTGTGTATGCAGTACTGGGGATTGAACTCAAGAGCCTCATGTTCCACTTGAACCATGCCTCCAGCCCTTTTTTGCTTTAGTTATTTTTCAAGTCATTTTCACTAGGGTTGGCCTTGACCTCAGTCCTACTTCTGCCTCCCAAGTGGCCAGAATTACAAGTATGCAGCACCACGTCCTACCTTAGGCTTTAATGCTTTTTGTTTCTTTTTATTTTGCAATACTTGGGGCTGAACTCAGGGCCTTGTGCATGCTAGGCAAGTGCTCTGCTAGTGAACTATACCAGCAGCCCCTTAGGCTTTAATGTTCTAATGGCAAAAGTTAAATGCCTCCTCAAAGTATTTGTGACTTAAGTTTCAACGAGTAAAAATATACCCATTGGGAGGCCAGCTCTAATGCTACTTAAAATGTTATGTGCAGTAAGGTTGCCTTTATTTTTAATTTGAAAAAAAAGTAAGTGAAAATTATTCATATTTATACCCATTCTCCTTGCTAATGATTTGGAAAATGGCAAAGTAGCTAGAAATGAAATTTTAGTACATGGATTACTGATATAACTTGGATGTGATAATCCTACTAATGAATTGAGATATGAGCCACATATTTTACAGAGAATATTTGCACATGACTGCTCCAAGTATTTTCCTAGTTAGGGTAACTCTGTAATACAAATATTTTTATGGAAATGAAGAGAACATTGTAAAATACACATTGAGCATGCTGAGCTGAAGCTTACCATCTTGACATCAAACAGGGGTCCAGAAAGAAAATTTATATGTGTTGATGAAGTGAGATGAAAACCATGTCTTTAATATTAACCTCATACACTATAAAAACAAAATCAACAAAACCTATATGTTAACCTAAGGTTATAAAAAGAAATGAGATTATTCAGTAATTAACAAGGAAATTGAGATACATACATTTCTAACACACTTTAATAATCTGCAACAGTAAATTTCATGTAGTGCAACCTACCTACTCATTCTTGAAAAGTAGTTTTCACTAGGTAGGGCAAGGTATTTGCAAATTAAAATCATTATTCCCTTTCTTCCAAGAAATATTTAACACCCAAAGACAGAAAAGAATAAATATTTTCTAAATGTCTTCTCTATGGGTATTGAAGATGTCACTTTTCCTATGGGTTATTCTAGCACTGGCTTTGACCACTATACAGTTGTCTTTACAGATCATAATCTTCATGTCTGTTGTAAGGTCTCCAAATATATCTCCACGAATGTCACAGTCCAAATTTTCCAGATAGCTTCAGCCTTTCTTTGCTTATGATCTCTTCCCTGCAATACAGAGGTGTTCATTTTGGCTGCAAAATAGAGTAACCTACTGAACGTTAAATAATGGTATGCCCAAACCCCACCACTGGGATTCAGATTAATTGGTCCTTAATGGGATCCAGGGATCAGCATTTTTGGAATTCTCTAGATGAGTAAAGTTAATGCCAGTGTTGAGATCAACTGCTCTATCCTGTCTTCCTACCACAAAGATGGTGTATGTGGGCTCTGAAAATGATAAATAATGCTTATTTTTAGTCTAATTCTTTGCCTAATTCCCTAACCACTGATGCACGTCTACACAGCTGATGACAGAAAGATTTCCTATGTAAAACTTTTGTTTTTGATAAACCCCAAAGCTTAGGTTTTTGCCAGTTCAGGGCTAAAGAAAAAACTACAAAAAAAAGGAGGGGGGGGAAGAGGAAGAAAACTACTAATAAATTATAGGCACAGTACAAGTTCCAGAAATGATCATTTAAAAATTAATATTTATCCTATCTTCAAATTGCTCATAGGATGTTTAAGTTGAATTCAGGTTAAGTGAAAAAATTCTGACCACTAAATCTGAAGATAAAACTACATACTTAACACGTAGAATGCGACCACTGTAAAATTAAAATTCTTTTTATTAAACTGTTTGGAGATTGTACCTTTAAATTACTTAAGTATTGCAGACAAAACTAATAAGTAACTTCGTGCACCTCTTACAAAGCAAACATTCTGCCGGTATACCTAATTTACCAGAACCTCTCTGAAAACCACATCATCGAAGGCTCCACTTTCAGAATAAGGCAGAGGCCGACTAATTTTTCCAGTATTACCTAGAGGCAATTCAACCTCCTCTCAATTTTTAATCTTAACTCTTTAATATTATAACCTTCAGACGACTCAAACCAACACCCTTTTTAATTTTCTTTAAAAAAAAAAAAGACCTGATTCTACTCAGAGATTAATAATCATTTTTCTTAATTCCGATCAGCCTCTATCTATAATCACAGTACCCTGTGCTCTAACTCCAAAAATCTCTGCTCATCACTATACTTGGGAGTCCCACTAGGGACTTGGGTGTCATCGGGTAGAGGCAGCCCCACCCCCACCCCCACCCGTGCGGCGGAGCCCAAGGGTGGCTTCTGGCGACAGCTCTTCCCCCAAGTTCGCTTCCGTGCCCCCACGAAACCGTGGCAGGAACCAGTCACGAATCGGATTCTAAGGGTCGCTGTCAATTTACTGGCTGCAATGTCTTCCAACAGCTTAGGCTCTACGCAAAAAACGCCGCCAACTCCATCCACGGTGCAGCGCCGGGCCTTTATTCAATATGGATTCCAAGAAACTTGCCCCCGAAGCGCTACGCAAAATTCCCGCGAGTTTCCGGGAATACCTGTAACTGAAACTCAAAACTAATATTAAACGCCCAGCTGAGCTGCACCACGAAGGCGTGACCACCTAGGTGGGCCCGGGCCTGGAGCGAGCGGCTTCCTCTCGCAGGACCCGAAAAAAAGGTTCCGGAGGCGGTTCCCTCACCTCCGACCCCGGCGGTACCTCGCGCCCCTAACCCACCTGCCAGTCCGTTACACCCACCTGCCGCCATCCACCTGCGCCGGCCACCGCCCTCCTGGATCCCCGGACTGCGTGCGCCACACGCCCTGCCGCAACGTCCACCTACCCCTTTCACGGCGGTAGGGGGCTAAATGTCAATCACCTGTTTCCGCCGGCGCACTTCCGACTGGCGGGCTGGGGTGGGGGCCGGGAACTGCAGGCGGAAGGGGCGGGGCTTTGAGGGCGGGGCTACGGCCAAAGGCTCCGCCGGGGCTACGCCAACATTTCGACTCTGTCCTCAGGGACTCAAGACTGGACCGGAAGCGGGGCCGGAAAGCGTTTATGCAGGCGGGGCGTTGGGCATCTGGAAAATGGGCGGGAACTTGTTATTTGACGGGTAGGAGACCGTTGGTTTTCTAGAATGAAGAAAATTTGTCACTCTTTGAGCGACACCTTTATTACTTATACTAGTCCAATCCATATGGCTTTCCATGGTATATGAAGTGTGAATGAATTTATTTTTTTAAGATCACTCCAGAGATAGGTTTTAAAAATTCAGAAGCTGCATTATCAATGCACATTGTATCAATGCAATCCGATTGTAATTCTGCTCCTTGAAACAATTTTGGCCTTTGAGGAATATGTTTTTTTTAATTGAAGTGAAATTCACAGAACATCAAAAGGTCTTAAGCAGATAAACCATTTTCAATTGCACAGTTCCGTGGCGTTTAATACATTGTAATGTACAGCCACTATCTCCTGTTTGAAAACCTTTTCATGATCTCACAACAAAACCTGCCCTCAGTGCATCTCATTCCTCCTCCCATTTCTTGGCAAATGTGTATCATCTTTCAGATTGGATTTATGTATTCTGGATATTTTACATAAATGGGATGTGTGATATTTTTGTGTGTATTCTTCCATTTAGCATGTAAGGCTCACTTTGGGTACTTTGTAGTACAACAAGGTCACTAGAGGCTATTTTTCCTAAAAGCAGTGACTTTTCACTTCAGTCTGCTAACATCCAGTGGATCAGGATAAGAATGTAGCACCTCTGCCTCCATTTTGCATCTGTCTCCTTTGCACTGAGTCATCCTGTTCCATAGTCTCATTGAATTCCAGGAACATCATGTATGATGGATAAACATTTGTGACAAGAAAAGACTCTACCCTTCCTACCCCTGCCAGGCAGCGTTGACTTTTTTTACACAAGGCCCTCCTAACCAATCCTGAGATGATTACTAGATCACAATTTGACTAATTATGAATGCTTCTTACCCCCATATACCTTCCATATCTGGAAGTTCATGTTAGCAGCTTTTGCCCCCAAATGGAGTGCTTCTCCCTCTCAGAATGAGCAGCAATTGAGTAGTGAAGGAAACTTTTATTCTTGGCCAAGAATAGAAGTGGGAGATAAACTTCCAAATCAACTTCTGAGCCCAATGTAGAGTAAATGAAATGAAGGACAGGCTAATTAAAGGAAGGACTATTCATATCTTTCATGGGAGCAGGCAGAGATTTTCTGAGAATTTGGGTACTGCCTCTTTTCACTCCATTTATGACCCTTTCCAGTTGTCAACTGTAAGGGCACTAGAGATGGCATTATAATGAAGTTAGAGGTTCTCTGACTTTCACTCTGGTAGCCATCTTGTATCCATCCAGTTGTGGCTAGTATTACCTGAAAAGGAACTTCTAGTCTTTAGGCATCATGTCCTCAAAGATAAACAAGATCAGAGCAGGGTAGAAATTCAGCTAGGTCACCTAGGTAGTATACCAGGTAAGTTTCTCATCTCATTAAAAATGCTCCCAAACCTAAATTATCTGACAGCCTTTACTACTTTTCACTCATTTCTATACTATCCCTCCTTCACTCCACTCAGGCCTCTTTCCTGTTTCTGAAAACACCAAGCATTTTTCTGCCTCAAGGCCTTTGCATTTGTGGCTCTCTACTTGTAACTATCTTTAATATTCAGAAAAAAATCCAATTGTAAACACATTATACATATGTGTATATATATGATAATTTTAGAAAGTAATTGATAGAAATATCACACCCTTAAAGTAAATTATATTTTGTATTCTAGATTGGTATTTTTCAAATGTATTTTTCTACTTCCCCTAAGCTGCATGTTAGACCCAGAGGCTAAATAAAATTAAGTTCTCTCAAGCAGCTGCATCTATAGTAAAGATCCTTCTGGGCATGGTGGAGCATGCTTGTAATCCCTGCAGGAGTGATGCACGGATGACATGTGCAGGAATTTCAGGTGCTCAGGGTTCTTGAGCCTGCTCTGAGAATGAAAGCACAGACAGACTCTAACAGCACAGATCGGAAAGATTTTATTTGTAGAGAATTTAGTTGTAGAAAAGAGAAGAGAAAGACTGCATATTGGGGAATGCAGGGGGATCCAGAAACCAGTGATCCTGTGGGTCAGGGTGGGGAGTGGGTTTTATAGCCTATTTTTGTATTGCCTGAGGGCGGAGATGCCTTTCAGATGCACACAGGCATTCCCTAGGGAGGAGAGGTGTCTCCTTGACCTCCCGCTGTCTGTCCTTCAAGTTCCCCCTCTCAGTGACCACACTAACTGCTGTTAGGAATAGGGACAACAAAGTCTGTTCAGTAACTGCTTCCTGCTGACAGGTGGCGATGAAGGGGCCCGCAGCGTCAGGGCTGACCACGAGAGGTGTTGTCATATGGACCGCGGTAGTAGGTCATTTTCATCTCCACCAGAGGCCTTTGTAGTTTGATGGATTCTAGGCAAGAAGAAACAAACTTGACAAGTAAGTTTAAAATGCAAGACCCAAACACAAGCAAGAGAATAATGGCAACTATAGGCCCCAGAAAGGGTAGGAAACAAGTCCTGGAGGGAAGCCAGGATTTTATTTGTTCCCATACCTGAGTTGAAACCTGAGTTTCAAGAGATTGCTCCCAGAGCCACTTAGCCTGTTGGAGAATTGTAATCTGCACATTCCTCTACAATGCCTGAAGTGTTTATATATGTGCAACAGGAAGTATTGTCAATGGCACATACCCCCCCTTCTTTGGCCAAAAGAAAATCTAGGGCCAGGTGGTGGTCCATTACCATACAGGCAAGGGCCAACAAAGACCTTTGCATGTCCTTAATAGCAAGGCCTACCTGGTCTGAGGTGTCCTCTACCACTTTGGTTAGGTTTTTTGCAGTTACATGATTGGCAATCACCCTGTAACTGATTCCAGCAAGGGCTGTGACTAATGCTGTGATCCCTAAAACTATTAAAGTAACCTCCCTTATTTCTATGGGAAGCTGTTCCTGTTATAGTTAGCATTTTCCTTTCCTTCCAGATGGCTGCATGAGCATGTAGGATTAGGAAGGCATACTTAGATTCTGTATAGATGCTGACTCTCTGTTCTTTTGGCAATTTTAGGGCTTCTGTTAGGGCCATTAATTCTGCCAATGGAGCACTTGTATTAGGAGGAAGAGGACCTGATTTGAGGATGCCAAATTCTGTCATAACTGCAAACCCTGCATGTCTGACACCATTTTTGACAAAGAAACTGCCATTAGTGTATAATTCTAGATCTGGGTTTTTTAAGGGCCAATCAGTTAAGTCAGGGCAGGCAGCATAATTTTCCATAAGTACCTCCTCACATGAATGTTCAGGATTTCCCTCTGCCTCTGGTAGAAGGGATGCAGGATTTAGGCTCTGACAGGTCCTTAAAGTAATCTCTGTCCCTCCCAGAATCTGGGCCTGGTATTTAAGTAGAAGGCTGTCAGCCAAAGTTCTCCTTTTGAGTTTAAAATTCCCCCTAGGTCATGTGGGGTATAAACCCTTAGTGGGTGGTTTAGGATAAGTTTCTGAGCTTCAGGCACTAGAAGGCTTACTGTGGCCATTAAGGCATGCTGGCCATCCCTTGGCTACCTGATCTAACTCTTTGCTTAAGTAGCCTGCTGGCTGGGAAGTGATGCCCTGGAGCTGAGTCACCACGCCCAAAGCCAGTCCTTCATTTTCATAGATGTATAATTGAAACTTGTCTTGTACTGGGAGACCCAAGGGTGGGAGCTATCATAAGGGCCTTTTTTAACTGGTGGAATGCATTTTCTGACTTGTCATCCCACTCAATAAAGGGCTAGGTATCCTTCTGTGATTCCTTAAGGATTTGATATAAGGGCCTGGCTAGGTCTGCATATCCCAGGATCCAAATTCTACAGCATCCTGTGACCCCCAAAAAGGCCCTCAATTGCTTTAGAGTTTTAGGTAGAGGAAGCGTATTGGACAGATTCTATCTACTCCTAGAGACCTCATTTCTTTCTCCAGGACAAGACCTAAATATGTTATCCTAGACTGACACAATTGGGCTTTTTCTTTAGAGATTTTAATTTGCTAAGAAGTTTAGTAAGGACTCAGTGGCTCGCGAAATGACAGGCTCACTTGGTCCATAGAGCATGAGGTCATCTACATATTGTAGCAGAGTAGCTTGTGGGTATTCCCATTCTGCCAAGTCTTGGGTTAGAGCTAACCCAAAGAGGTGGGGGCTGTCTCTGAATCCCTGGGGGAGGACAGTCCAAGTGACCTGTCCATAGTTTTGTGGAGTCCTCAAAGGCAAAGATAGGTTGACTTTTAGGGTGTAAGGGAATGCAAAAGAAGGCATCTTTTAAATCCAGGACAGAGTAGTAAGCGGTACCCAGAGGTATTTGGGCTAAAAGCGTATAGGGATTTGGAACTACAGGGTGGAGAGAGGCACTACTGCTTCGTTGATCAGGCGGAGATCCTGGACTAGCCTCCACTTGTTAGGTCCCTTCCTAACACCAAGAATAGGAGTATTATATGGGCTGGAGCATTCTATTAGCAGCCCCTATCTCTTTAAGTCTTTGATTATGGGAATTAGCCTCTCCTTAACTTCTGGCTTTAAAGGTTATTATTTCTGATGGGGGAAACCAGGAGGGGTCCTTGAGATGAATTAGGCCTGGGAGAGCTGTTCGTGCCCATCCCACAGTGTGTCCATCTGTCCACACTGTGGGGTCTACTTGTTCCTCTATTAGGGGCAAGCAAAAGTAGTCTCCTGGGGGGTAAAAGAAACTGTACCCCCAATTTAGATAGAAGGTCTTGCCCTAGCAGAGGAGTAGGAGTTTCTGGGACAATTAAAAAGGAGTGACAGAAATGGAAATCTCCCCAGGAGCAGGCTAAA